ATTTTCAAAATCAACAATTGAGTTAGTAACTTCATTTCTATAATGAAATCTCAAATTGTTCAAACATGAGGATGTTTTATTAATATTTCTAAACGCAACTGATAATAATTCCGAAGAATAATTCCTAACACGTACAAGAATGTTCTTCAACTTGCATTTAAATACGAAAAAACAGTTTCCATTTAAATGCCTTCATTTTTGCACAAAATAACTATAACACTCTGTAATCTAAAATTAGCATCTACCAAGAGTAGTTAGCTACAGTGTGACTAATTGTAAAACCGCATTTCCTGCAGGAACAGCGAAACTCATTGTACCTAATTTTCCAGGCTATTTCAATGAATGCAAATTGTTATTTCTTTCTTTCAACGTTCGTTTAGCACAGAATTGGCATCCTCTGTAATTTCTTGTAAATTGCAAGTTCATCCAGTGTTTCATTCGCACAGAAATGCATACAACTTAAAATCAATTAATTTAAAATCAGTTCATTTAAATTGATATTAAAAATTCTATTACAATTAAAAATTTCTATTTAAATTTCTGCGCATTTGCTTTTGCAAGAAAGAATTTAATGAACACGTGCAAACCGAGAACACGTGACATTAATACTCAATATTCTCGATATCAATTCCTATTTCCTACCTGCGAACTCTCCACTCATGTTTTAATTAACGGTCCTCTTGTCACGTGTATGCAAATACAGCTGGATCGACGTATTCGCGTTTCGTTTCTCGCGATAAAGAAAATTGCAATAAAACGTCCGACTCTCGCGCCGTATATTAAGAATTGGAATAGACGAGGATTTGATCGAAAGAATAAAATGCTGTTATATCCGCGCGATTACGCGAGTCGTAGTTGAGGATGGTAGAGGCCTGTGTGCCCGAAACCGGCAACCGGAAGTAAAAGATCGATTTCGCTGGCGAAAGATGCGAAGGAGAAGAAGAAGAAAGTCCGCCGTATAAACTTGACACACTGAGATGAAAGGCAAGTCCCGTTGTGCCCCACTTTAACAGCTTTCGTATCTCGAGATAGGTGTTACACCTTCACTGAAGCCTCTCGTGCGATGGTATTCTAATTGACCTGATCAGCAAACCCGCAGACGCAGCGCCAATCAAATATTCAGGAAGACGATGTTCGCAAAACACGATCCGTTTCAGATAACATTGTCTTCGACCCTATTCTTCGCACCAGCAAATTGCACGATTAACTCGCATAAATGCATCGAATCCGCGAGTTATTATTAGAAACTGCATAGGAATAAATCAGTCATGAAATTGTGTTAAACATTAGTATGTATTTGGAAAATATATCAGTTCTATTCGAACATTAATATTTGCAAATTTTATCAGCAGGAACTGCATAATAATAAATAAACCATGAAATTGACTTAGAAATTAGTGTTTTGAAAATTTATCAGTTTCATTCAAACATGGATATTTGTAATCTATCGCTAATGTCTGAAAATTTATATTTAGGAACTGTATAATAATAAAGCAATACAGCAATATAATAATTAATAAATTAGGAACCTGTCATTGGGAATTGTATAATAATAAATAAACTTAGGAATATAATAATTAATAAAATAGGAATCTATTACTAGTAATCGTATAATAATGAATAAGCCAAGAATTAAACTCGAACAATTTAGAAAATAAAGTCGATTTTCTAACAAGTCATTATGGACACAATATAATCGATCAGTGTGAAATTATTAATTCGATATGACCTTAATATTACAATCGAGTTAACAAGATTCAGTTGGCTATGATTGATACAACGATATAAATAAGTAGCCCAATTCATTCCCGCCTGCCTGACTATTTATATCTAAACATTTATGTATAGCCTAAATATTCATAATGCAATCGGTAACAAATGTTTTTACGTGGGAGAATAAGCATAAAATTGTAGAATGAAATTATTTCACACAAGCCTTTGTATTTAAACAAAGAGATTTAAGAATTCCCAAGGTACGCGTGCTATTGAATAAGTATGAGCTAACGTGCATGCACATGAATTACTATATCCCCTTGCTTCGAAATGCTAATGCACTCGTAGCCGGCGAACATCCAAAGTCGATTTTCTCGAAAGTAAAGCATCGTGTAATCAAAATGTATTCTATGTAAAATTCTGCATATCTAGCGAGCGTTTTTTACAACAGTTTTATTAAATTATTATAATTTTTCACGACTGTTATCAGCGGAAATAACTTCTTTTTTCGATCATTTATATTGTTCTCTATTCTGTGAAATTTCTAATATTCGCAAGTTTTCAATTTTCAATCCATTAAAATTTCAGTTCTTAATTATTTTATTCTGCCTGCAGTCTAAGATTTTTCGAATTAAAAATTGCACACATCACTGCGTCAGAAAAATTTTATGAATATAGACAGTGCGCTCGAAATAAATTGTTTATTCACACCTGGTTTATATGTTCTAATAATTTTACTTTATTTTAATTATAAATTTTTTCAACCTAACTTCTCAAAGTACAGAAATTCAACACACAGCTACATTAGAAAATTATTAGAACAGAGATACAGTTATAATGTGGTCGAAATAAATGCTATCGTCCACTGAAGGCGCAAAAAGTTGTAATTCTTATCTATTCTATTATATTTTAACTATGTATTTTCCACCTAATTTCTCCAAGTTCAAAGATTGAACGCATAATTACCTTGGAGCTAAAATTATTCTAATAGGTAGATTGTAATGCTGCAGTAAACATAAATGCGCTATTATCCACCGAAGGCTGCTAAAACATCAGTTCCCAGCCGTTCCACTCCATTTGAATGATGCATATTTTCAGCCTAACTTCTCAAAGTCCAGACGGTGACTTTATGAAAATAATTCATCGAATTTGGAATAACTAAAATTCGCGATTCTGCCGCAGGTTTACCGGAGAGCCTCCAAGAAATTGGAAGAATCGCCCATCAAAGGTAAAGTAACATGTCAAGATGAGGAGAAAATGCGGCGTCTGCTTTGTTACGCCGAGGCGCCGGAGTATCTCCAACATAATCCCTACATTTTGAGCGGATACCGAGGATACCTCTCTACAAAATTATGTTTGGAAAGGTTTGTCCAACACGCTCGCCGTCATCGACTTTCTTTTCTCGATCGTCGTCGACACCCTTATCTCTGCATATAATTTTTCGTTCGACAACATTCAACGATTGTTTATTTCAGTATATTTTGGTGGACGAATGAAACAGTAAATATATGGAGCCACATATTTGGTTGGATGTTATTCCTTGGTTTGACGCTATACGATCTTTGTCTACTGAACATCCACGCCCCGATGGGCGATAAAGTTATCGTAGCTCTTTTATTAATCTGTTTTCAGGTAAACGCACATTGGCTTAATTATGCTAGCTCACCGTAGTCTCTTTACTCGTAGGATACCAAACGTTCGATTATAGAATTTCATTTAAGGGGATATTCTGGTTTACAATGTTCTTCGAACAATTTTTAGGAATAATTTTAAATGAACTATTTTAATTATTATTATTAATTTTTGCATTGGGTATTGACAACGGTATTAGCAAATGGTATTTAAAGCGTACAATGAAATTTTTTTTAAACAATTAAAATTATATGAATTATAGTCTATTTTATTAAGAGCGTTTTACAAAAATTTGTCCTTGATTTCGGACTTTCTGCTGATTTTAAACAAGAAAATGAGGAATCTTCGCATTTGGTGTAAGACTGGCTATCATTTAAACCAAAGTAACATAGTAATCTGGATTATTGACCAGATGGCAAGATTTTTAATTGATATACGATTGATTTTCGAAATATTTTGTCATCTTTAACACGTTAAAAACGCAAGGAAAAAGCGATAAATGTTCAAAATGTTGATTAATGCTGAACGTGTGCTGAAAATGCTCTATTTTCAAGTCAATTGATTAACTAGGATATGTGAAATCGTGTCAACCGTGAGAAACGTTCAAGTTTCTCTTGTAAATATATACTAAATTCAAGCATTTATAACATTGATATTTTTACAAATTGAAACAAGTAGTTTTGCACACGTGTTCTAGAAAACTTGTAGTTCAAGAAAATGCAAAAAAAATTGATTTTTTGAAGATTCAAAACCAGAATACCCCTTTAAACATTAAAATTCAAACTTGAAAAATCAAAAGTAGTACTTTGAAAATCAAAATTGAACTTTAAGAAATAAAGTTAGAACTTTAAACATTGAAGTTGGAACTTCAAACGTTAAAGTTAGAACTTTTAACGTTAAAGTTAGAACTTTAAACGTTAAAAGTAGTATTTGAAAAATGAAAATTAGAACTTTAAACGTTAAAAGTAGAACTTGAAAAATGAATATTAGAACTTGACAAATTGTAAGTAAAATTTCGAAAATTAAAATTAGAACTTCTGAATAATTAAAATTAGTGCCTTTGTTTGAGATGGAGGGATTGTTAAACAAAATGATAAATGAACTTCTGTGAAGCCGAAATTTCATTGTTTTAGGCTTGCATGATATTGTCGTCGGTGTATCACACGTTTTCCTGTCGAAGCGAGAAGGATTACTGGTGTTTCCTTTCGTTTGATCTCTTCGGCATCGCTTTGAGCCTCCTGTCGATATACATGTCTGGAGTGTATTACGCCTTTTGGTGTCACAAGGTGAAAAAAATTGCCTGTTCCTAACGCTCTGACCAATGTTAACAGTATGAACATGGTTAATGAATTGCTTCTGACGCATAATTCCAAGGCTGCCGGCGACAAAGCAGTCACATTTTCCGAAATACCAGCCAATTTGTCATTCGTTTTATCTTGAACACATCACCGCGTCGCTTTAAAATTACAAATCAGCTGGCCCGTGACGTTTAAAAAATTCTCATTTGAATAAACCGCTATCTAATTATCACATACGTCACTGTCAGTTCGAATATGCATTGCTATTCGTTTTCTTTAATCGCGACTGCGGATACGTACATGTATAAGTTTTTAGAAATCGATTCGCAAAACGGAACATTACGTAACTTTCGAATTAGTTCATTAGCAATGGAAATTGAATTCATTTCATTGATGATTGTCTTTCGTTATACAGTGGGAAACTGAATTATTATTTAAATTAGTGTGACCGAGTTTACACTAAGGCAATCGATCTTTAAACTGCATTGTTCCCATTCTTTTATCAAATAATGATGTTTGCAGATTTAAATACAGCAACACTGTGAACATCATTATCCTTCGCGTGAATAAGATCATGCATCGCACATTAATAGCTCGATCACGATACAATTCGTTTTGTTAATTTATTTTTAATAAAAAAAGATCCATTGCCACATTTGTAATTTAATCATGATAAAGTTCAGTCCACATTGTTAACCTTTGCACTCGAAGCTATTTTAACATCTTATTTTCACTCTGTATCATTTTTGCATTTTATGCATATAAGACATTATTAACAATTCTTTATTGCACACAAATTTAATAATGTAGAAATTATTTTGGAAAATAACGTAGAAATTTTTAGGGATATCTTGGAGTCGTCAATCGAGTGCAAAGGGTTGATTAGTTTATAAATCGTTTCAAGGATGAAAACTGGTAAAAAAATGATTGTTGTTTTTTGTAGGAATTGCAGAGGTTCTACTTGATAACAGTGCTGGCGATTTTCGTGTTCGCGATGATACTTCAAATACCAAAATTGAACGTTAACGGGAATGTTAAGCTAGTCGTATTTGTCGCTTGGGCGGCTTATGGAGTCCTGCCAACGCTGCATTGGAGTATCGCGATGGGCGGCATGGAAAACCCGATCGTTAGAATGTTGCTTCCAAGGGTACTAGGGATGTATGTCATTAGTGGTGGAGCGTTCGTTATTTATTTGAGCAAAATACCGGAACGCTTTTGTCCAGGTAATCAGGCGACTTTCAATACGCGTCATTGTACCAACAGTTTCAGCTCAAAACCGTACTGTACAATGCAAAACTGCAGCAGCAAAAAAAAAAAAAGGTTTCATTTAGAATCTCAAGAATCTCAATATTCTTGCGAAAATAAATGACTAGATCTCTTTCTTTCATGATGAATGTATTTGCCCCAAGAGGTAAAAAGTTTAAAATTGCACAATTTATAAAAATATCTGTTTTCACAATGATTTTATAAGTAACCGTCGTTTATTAAAAGATCACAGTGAAATGAAAAGACAAATCTTAGCAACTTAACATTTTAGTTTTGTTACAAATATTTTGTATAAATAATATCGAATCATGTGCATTATTTGCATCAATCTGCGGTCTATGTATATAAACTTTGCAGTTCAAAATTTTGCTCTACAACGGTAGAAAAAAAGATTCTTGCATAAATCAGGTTAATACTAACGCAATGTTGTTAGTCTAAAATATCACTTTACATCCTTAAAAAGTTGATTGCAAGAGATGGATTTCTTTCTGTTGCAGTTTTATGGATGAAAACCGAGTCTAATTTAGTAATCGCGTGAGAAATAATTCCAATTCGTTAACGTTTCAGGATGGGTGGACTACGTCGGCTCGTCTCATCAATGGTGGCATGCGTTAGTAGTGTTGGCACTGTATTATTGGCACAACACTGGCATGCTTTACGTGGAATACAGAATGAACCATGGTTGTCCTAGCAACATCAAATTATTATGACAGACGGAGTCTGACGACCATTCAGGTACGGGATGAAAACTCCGTCCTAGACAATTCAGAAAAGATCGAATTTTAATGAAAAATATTCGCAAAATATATTAAGAAAGCACGAACACCTGTACAACGGTCGCTACTTAATTGCTATCTTATTTACAGATCTGGCATTTAGTATGTTTCCGTTAGGTAATGTGTCGTGTCACGTTATATCATAATTGAAATTTCAGCACCTGGTTTTCTCATGGAATGTGCTTGCGCTATGGAATTCAATGTTTGGTCGTCAGGATACAACAACAATCCACCGTTTTCTGCTACCGAAAGCAAAACAACTTGCGCAATGGACAATCCATTATGGGCGTACGTCCAACAGCGAGTGATCTAGTTCGAGGCAGTGTGTTAATTAACGTGAAACTTATTTAAAAAGAAAGAAACAACATCAAAGGCGGTAGTTTGATGATATCTCTGTTGTCCTCCTGGCGCGTTCATAATGTTTATTTATTTTGTATTTATAAACTTTGAATAGATTTATTATGTTTCCTACTCCTATTTTTGTATCTCCTGTTCTCCTGCTCATTTTGCAATCAACTATCTCTGTAAACCACACTGTTCCCATTTTTCTTTTTTGCAATATTAATAGGAAATAATTAGATTTTCAAATCGTGTTTAACACTCTTTCTCATAATTTAGAAAGTAACTAAGATTTTCTTCAGCTCAACTAGCACACGCACAGATGTAAGTTATGTACAGGGTGTTCCATCTAAGGTCAACTTAATTTCTGTGCTATCTTCATTGACTGTAGTATGACCTACAATGACCTCGGGCTCTGAAATTAGCCAACTAGAACGAAGCCTATTTTTTAGATCGCAGTTAGGAAAGACAATGAGGTGTTTCAGCTGGAACACCCTGTATACTCTACAACGAATTTCTTCGAAAAAATACTGGTTTGTAAATAGAGCGACTTAGACTGCTGAATTTTTTCACAATTTTTAGTAGACATGACGCATATCAAGCAGAAACTGTAGAGAAATATTGTTTCTAGATATTGTTAAATAAAATCGATTCTTAAAGATGCGCTTCCATTGTCTCATTTAAAAAGTTTTACTGCAATTAGAATGTCTTTTTGTATAAAATGGCATTATGGTAATGTTTAAACCTTCATAAACTAATGGATTAATTGATGCGTATAGTTGCTGTTTTTGATGTCCGTTTTTACTTCGGCTTAAAATGTGAGGCAAAAGTTGTAAATTAAAAATATTTGTATCCTTAGCATAAATAATACCAATTCGGACAAAAAAAATCTTGAAAAGCAATTGAAATATATTCCAATGTAAAAATTATAATAAATAAAAGGATATTATAATTTATAACATGTATGAAACAATATTAAATATTCGGCATCAGGTGAGAGATAATTGCTGCGTAAAACAAAACTCGAAAAATTAACGAAATTATATATATTCTCCAGACCAGCTTTCTTTAGTTACCATTTCAAATTCCCACCAAAACACGATTGATGATGTATCAATAGTGACGCATGGGCAATGACGTATCATGCGGGAGATAATGATGGTGACGTCATTGGTGGATTTTAATTGTTAGTAACTCGCAAACAAAGCCGAAACTACAAAATTTTATTCTTGTTTCAACTTACCATATCATGAATTTTCTTTTATCTCGTATTTAGCACCCTGCATGCGTTAATTTTGCATGATTTCAACATTTTGTTTGTCTGCTTCGACGGATATATTTTCGCTGCATGAATATTTACAATTTACTTATCAGATAAAGATGACCTCACAAGCTGCAAGTTTTAATGTGCAATATCGTAAACAGTCAGACACAGTCGAAAACAATATTTAATCATAATTTGTGCTCCTTTTTCGCTTTTTTTAGAATCCATCGTTAATCATGGAACATGAAATTTCAAGAGAGTGTTCGTCTCGTTAAAGATTGGTGTTCAAATTCTCTCACAATTTGTTTTGCCCCAAATGAAACAATGAACTTATCGTGAACACTGTTAAATAATCTATTATACAATTAACAATTTTATATTTATTGCTGCAATCAAATTATTGAAAAAGCTATGAAGTTTCACGTGATTAAAATAAAAGTACACGCATCACGATGGCGGGGACACCGTTTGTCACTAGGGGGCGACACTGGGCACCTTTGTTCTGCATCACAGAAGTGTTTGGCCATGGTATCTCCATGAGGTGCAGTTTGTGCAAAATTCGTTTTCAGAGCATCGAAATTATTATTGTCTCTTATTGTCAGAATTCTTTGTGTAATTGCTGCTCAACTGTGATTTAACAAATCAATATGCCGAAAAATAAGGGTTCGTTAACGATTACATCTTATTATGTCTCTTTGTCTTTCGAAAAATTGAAAATATCTATGCATCGAGTCATGTAACTTTCAATGTGCAATGTGGTTAGTTGTCCTAACCTGTTAATGTCAACCTTGCTCCCGAAATAGTTTAATGTACATGTAGAGTAACGGAACGCAGAATATTTCTTTTCGTTTTAATCGTTCGCTGGCAAAAATTTGCCGAGTTATCATGGTTTTAATTATTTTTCGCCAGGAAAGGGAGGTAAAAACAGGAGAAGGGGTAAGAACGAAAACGAGACAGAGAAGAGAGAGTTGGTATTCAAAGAAGATGGACAAGGTAAAAAATTTCACAATAAAATTTCGAAATGTAAGCGCAATTAGTGTTTTCAAAGTTTTGTTGTCTCTTTGTTCGAATTAATACTTCATTTCGCAGATCAATCTTTATTTTGACCTAAATTGAAGTACCGTTTACTTTTTAATTAAATAACAGGATAAAATTTGTAAATTTTTGAAAATGTTTGTATATAGAATAGTATATATTTAGGTATGTGTCTTTATAATCGATACGTGCATAGAATTTCATATTTTTTGCTATGTTCTTTAGAATATGCACAAGTAACAAAGATGCTTGGTAATGGAAGATTAGAGGCAACGTGCTTTGATGGTGTCAAGCGATTGTGCCACATCCGAGGGAAATTACGAAAGAAAGTATGGATTAATCAGGGTGACATTATATTAATTGGTTTGCGAGATTATCAGAATGCGAAAGCTGATGTTATATTAAAATATACATCAGACGAAGCTCGTAACTTGAAAACGTATGGTGAATTTCCTGAAACTGGTAAGTTTAAACATATGTTGATTACAAGTTTGGCCATTCAAATAATGGGAACATTGTACTCAATTGGATTTGCTTTATTACAGTACGCATCAATGATACCGTCACCTTTGTCGAGGACGGTTTCGATGAAGATATTGAATTTGGTGATGAAATTAGTGACGATGATGAAGATGATGTTGACAATGTGAGTCCTTTTTAATACATTAGTATTTTTCTACATGCATGAATTGTATACCTTAGAAGAATTTTTTTGGATATTGGACTTTAGTTCAATATCATATGTTTAATACTGATCAAGAATGTGATAATTTTCCAAACTTTACAGATCTGATGACCTTCAGTATAATAATACTTAAAAGGTATGGATACAAAAAGTACATGGAAACACCTATTTGTTTTACAACCTGCTATCATTTGTCAGGCAATTAAACTATTGCATTGTTTTGGAAGAATAGCCAATTTTCTGTATCTAAATAAATTTTCGAATTGTGTGCATAATATTGTATTCCAGTCCAATATTACTGGACGTTGAATTTCCAGGATTTGTAAATTTTATTAGACTACTAGTAGTCACTATACAGTCTGTTATTTACTGTCATGTGATTTCAACTTAAAAATTTCATTTTTCGCATCGATATTCTTCTTCACAAAATGTATTTAAAAAAATTAATTAGGTTCTCAATTAAACTGAGTTTCTTTTAAAACGAAATTTTTACCGCTAAATTCCATCGCATATAAATAGCTACACTATTCATAGTATTACTGTAATGTCTTCATAAGCAACTTTATTTTGTATATTTTTTGTTTTATATCAAATTATTATTGGTACGATTTTAAATGGGGAAAATAGTGAGCACTATGCATCGCTGTAATTCAGTATCTATTAAGGCAATTCATTAAATCATCTGTTGTATTGTATAAGTGCAACTACACGAACGTTGTTTTTGTAATTGTATTTTATAGACAGCTGAGTGTAACTTTAAGACCAGATTTATTAGTTATGGGTATATAAAAGCAATATATAACTACCAATACGAATATAATAAAATTCCATTTAGAAATATTTATAAAGAAAACGAAATTGCAATTCTTCTATTAGAGGATGTATAAGTTCCATAGTTAATTTGGTGTGCTCGAGATTTTAATTATATTATATCTTTCGTTGTCAACAAAAACTCATCATAAATACTGCCTTTTTTATTTCGATAGGTCAAATTTGAAATATTCATTGGAATATATAGATTATAACTGGTTTTTGTATAAAACAATGATTCCGTGAATGTGTACTAAAGAAAATTAATGTCAACTGTTAACAATAAATAAAAATCTGTAAACTAACCAACTTGTTGTTTATTGAGGCATGTGTGATCTTCTAGTGAGAATGTCTGACTATTTAGATAAGCTAGTAAATCAAGAAATTCAACCGTTTGTCGTTATCTAATTTTTGCATGACGACGATAAACAACAAAAATGATCGGAAAAGAAACTGGGGACGAGGTATTACCGTCTTTCACGTCTTACTACCTTTCCGTTACAAGTATCTCGTGAATTGTAATGCAACAGTTTATTTATTACATTGTCGTTGATAACTCTATCACATAATAGTATATGGTAAAATCATACTTTTTCCTTTCCTCTGGTATTTTTGATATCGTACGCCATACAATGGCATTATAATTTTTAACGTAACGCCGTGGTAATTACGAAGGTTTCTCAAGCATTAAGAGGAAAATTGTTAGCCGCTTGGCGTTTACGCGTTAATTCACAGAACAGACCAACACATTGTAGAAAATTACATTCAGAACTATTAGAAGCGTACTGATGCGATACTGAATGTTTAAATACCTTCTTAATTCGAACGCATGTGAATGAAACGACATTAAAATCATCACACACCCTTTTTTGTGGTTCTTTGCAATAGTAATAGCTACTTTGAGGAAAACGGTTGGCAAAAGTCAGACATAATCGGAGACAATTATAATACACGTCTCCAATCGATTATACATTAGTTCTTTCATTTTAACAATTTGTAGCAATAAATAGCGTCTTTATGAAATTAGTAAAGATCAATGACAAAACAAGATTTTAGATCTCGTGATGGTATTTTTTTTTATACAGTTTCGTTACAGGGATCAATGAAAAAACTTTCATTGGAGTATCGTTAGTAGAAAAATTTAGCGTTAAGCGAGTAAAGAAATTATGTCAGAGTTTTTCATTCATATTACATTTTCACCGTCATATAGAATCGAATAGGTGTTCTCAGACTGAAAAACACAGTGGCTGGTCAGAGACAATTACAAAATGTATATTTTACTCAATGTAACGTTACTGGCTTCTAGTTTGATGTCATAAATAATGCAAAAGGATATAAACAATCTCCGAGTTTTACAAAATGTTACAATTCATTCATTCTAATATATATGCAGAACGTTTTAGACTCAAATAATTTCATACAAATAAGGACCGCTTGATCGTTAAAAGCTTTTCAATAAATAGTAAAAATAAATTCTTCGTAGATACAAGAAAAGAAGAAACAATATGTTCTCGTTATCCTATTGGTCATGCAAATTGTACTTTTTCATTGAACACTAATTGACTAGCTAGCCAGTAAAGTTACGTGGTCGACTTTCAATAGCTCGTTATCCAAGGTACGCGATATAGTAAAGATAGTTAGTGACGTTGTAAAAAATGTACTAACATACGGGACAGAAATGACGATGAATGAAAAAACTGTTCGACTTTACAATGTCTCGTCGTTATTACATGTGGCTTGGCGGTGTTACGTATTGTAGAAGGGGGTGGGGAAAATATGTTTCTCGTTTTTTTCTCGTTAATACAAACCATCGTTTTTGTTTCTCTTTCTCTCTCTCTCTCTCTCTTGTGTGTGTATTCGTGTAGCAGTCGGAATATTTAAATGCCAGTATCGCAACGCCTGCAATCGGATTTTTTTTTTCACAATAAACGTTATACGACAGTACATGGGAGCATAATGTTTTATTCTTGTTGTTCATTTGTTTTGATGCGTGCGTGATTGTGCCTTTGGTCCTTAGGTCAGATAGGCTCTAGGCAAAGTCTATTAAACATAGAATAACAGTCATTATAGATAATAATTTATAAACTTCAGATGCATAATCGTATCATTCTTCAATATATTATACATTAATAGAATACCTTATGTAAAGTATATTTTGTTTCTGTTATTACTTTTTTCGTGTATTCCTTTCGTTTTTATTTATTTTCTTTTAAATACATACTATATGATTCCTTTCTGTGCCATTATTTGTTCTTTGTTCTCTTTCCTTTTAAAACGGTGTTACACACTGAAAGCTAATTGCTGCTTAAACATTAAGAAACGTAGTATTTCTCTCGTGAATCGTCAAAACGCCTCGAATAAACACACATATCTTCCCTATATAGTCGTTCGCCGATTAATCAATTGTCTCGATTATTCTTTTGATCGTTCGTTTATAGTGGTCGCGGTTAATTAATTTACATGATCGCCGATCAACGTTCCCCTCGATCCCACGATTCCCCCAACAATTTGTCCCGATGATTCTCTGCTATATAAATAAAATATCCGTGTTATAATATTGCAATTATTACAATCGTATTCATAGTACATTTATATAGGTTACGCTAAGAAATTATTATATATACAATTAAAAAGTTGTTAGGAAATATTGTTTCTTTTAAATAAGTTAAATTTACATTGTATCCCGATTCGTAAAACGGTCCTTTGTTGCGATCCAGCTAAATCGGTCGTCGTCGATCCCATTCTGGATCGCAACAAACGATTCCAATTTCCTTTTAGAATCTCTCTCTCTCTTATATTGTGTCCGTGTTTCCGTGTGTGTATGTGACTCAAGTGGTAATTGCAGACCTATGAAGCGCGGATAGATATACAATCATCCTAAAGCTAAACGAGCCGGCGAGTGTCGCGGGCGTCGGGCCGCGAGTTCTATAGATCGTTCCTCGGATCGTTTACAAATCTAGATACCGGCATGGAGTTGGTCGAGCTTCGAAACTACAGTAATTTTCTGATCGCGTTTTTACCACGCTGCTCTTGCTTGCTGTTTTTCGATACTCTCTCTCTCTCTCTCTCTCTCTCTCTCTCTCTCTCTCGCACACATTCTCTCTCTTTTTTGTCACCTTTCTCTCTCTCTCTCTCTCTTTCTTTCTTTCGCTTCGAACAACTCGAGAAAGGCGTTGTACATGGACGGGTTAGCTTAGCGAAGATTAGCGGATCACCAGAAGCGGGACCAGCGGTGATCGCAGGCTAGTCGATCGCAAGTTATCGAAACGTAAACGCGTTAAGGCAACTGAATCGTAACCGAAAAGGCAAGCAAATTCGAAGCGTAGGCCATGAGTGTGATAGTAAAATTGTCGTGCATGCTTTTTTGGCTCCCGCGCTTCAATTCCCGCGGGACAAGACGAAGCCGCGTTTATTATAGATCATTTTCTAGATCGCGGGCCGGCTGGACGCTCGAGGATGCGTCCAGCTGGAGAAGCTTCGTCTTCGAATTAGTGCTACGGAAATTTCATTAGAATGGTTTCTCGATCTTCTCTTCTCGGTACATCTGGCGGTGAAAGATCCGTTCCTCGTCGTTCCCGTGATCGCGAGACTGGTCGCCGGGGATTCACTGATCCCGCCTCTCCTCCATCATGAACTGATCGACGATCTTTTGCATCGAGTCGCGCAGATCGTCCGGATCGCTTGTGGTTCCGCTGGTCGTTGTGACTACTTGAGTTACTGTTCTCGTTATTCTGAAATCGAAATATGATTTTTAGTTTGGATCCTTGGACACTGAGAACTGTTTTTGTTAGATCTTCATGCATTCGGTCTTACACATTGATTTGTAAAGATCAAAGTTTCAGTTGCTATTTCACTTTTATCAAGTTCAGGACAACTGTCCCTTTGCTAATTGGAAGATTTCTTGCGGTAAAATCAAAGTGGAAATATTATTCATTTTTGTAAAAGTGATTTCTTAACGTTTATGTACTCTGTGACTGGATGAAGATCTATAGAACAAGTATTAATCATTATGTTGGTGATCTAATAAGAGAATAATTTGAAAATTGTAATGTTCTAGATTCTCTGCATAAATTTTTACTTTGAAGCTATAAATTGATGTAATAGTTATTAAATTGATGTAGGAGTCAGAGAACATCGAGAATTGTTAAAAGAGTCATAGTAACTAAAAAACCAGCACAAGGATTAAAAGACTGCAGATCATTATACAAATTATTAGTATGATGAATCATCTTCAATTTTGTGCAAATCTGGAATTTGGAAGATTCATTTTCAGAAATTGAAATCAAATAGAGTCTTGTCAAACTGTAAATTTCATTGCATTATAATTAGTTAATGCAATGAATTTTAAACGATTGTGCTTGTACAAGTGCATCCTAATGTTAATACTTGATTTATTTGATGGAACACTTTTTACCAGAGATTGTAGATGTGCATTTTACACATCTATTTTTACCAAATTAATTTTATAATCGTTATAGGAAACGTTGAAAAGTCTATTGAAGATTGAACTTAGAAAATAACTTTAAATAAAAATTATCGAAGTAGTTTTCTGATCTCTTTGGAAAAAATATTAAAAAATATTGTAATTAAAATGATTAAAATGTGTTTCTTGATTTCTTTGGTAAAAATAGTGTTGAATTCAAAATTTAAAAGCTGCCTTTTGTCCCCTTTGGTAAAAATAATGTCAAAACTCTATTACCTTCAGTTTCTAAGAAAATGTTTAGACCGCGTTATATGTGTATTTTCAGGAAAAATATAAATAATTGAAATATAAAATAGCAAAAACATCAGCTAAATTTCAAAGTCGCAGGATATTATTTGCAACTACTGGTTGCAGATCCTGGTCCTTGCAACTAACAAAGAAATATTTCGCATATAGATCTGCAGTTTCGACGCTGAGACGAAGCGTTGCTTCATTCTGATGCTGATAACGGAGATTTCGGTTTCCTGTTGCGGTGTTACCTTTCCTGTGTGTCGGGGTCCACTTCCGTCGTTGTAGTTTCCATGAAGGATGGCTCACTGTGTTGCAAAAAGTCAGATTCTGCGTAACAAACGATAAACTGGTAAAAATCCGTGCTGCTGGTCGGCCGTACGCGTTATCTTACTATCATTAGCGGTTCACATAGATACAAGTACCAATTGTATATATCTCTCAATTTTACATCATGCCCAAAACAAGGGGTAATACTAGACACATATAAAAAAATTAACAACATCACTATACATTTGACGATACATAATATAATAATACGCATTTTCACTCAATCAGCCAACTATGCAACCGCTTTTCTTACACTTCGCTTATCATTTCCCCGGAATATTCAGAAATTTGTCCACGCGTTCCAAATGCATTCTCCCGTTAAGACTCTTTCCGAACTCGTACGAGTCCTTGTCACGAGATAAGTGAAAACTGCGAGAACAACGTGTCGAAGCACACAGAATCGACTGTATACGCTTCGACGATTACTTTACCGTATGTGGTACACGTTTGCTGTCGCGGGGCAACTTAAGTTTAACGTTACTTCCCGTCTGTAAATTGACATGATCGGGTAGAATTTTCGGTACAAATGCACTAATAGCAGCGCTTGAGAGAGTCCGCACTCGATAGTTCGAGGATATAAATCATTACTGAGGCATGTTCAGAATTACTCCTCACAAGAAAGATTTCGATCCGTGCGCTCTAATTAATGAAAATCAGCGCGCTTTCGAAAGTAATTAAACAGGAGAACAGTAAAAGACGCGTAAACGAAGAACACGATTCTCTATGAAAAAAAAAACAAACAATTTGTAACAGAACTGAATCCTCTGAAACCTGTGTATAACGTATAATAGATTCTTTAGTTTCGACGGCAGCGATACCGAAATACGAAGGAATGGAAAAATGTCAGATTATATATGGTACACGTCTCTTCGGCCCAATTACTCGGAAAAGTGATTCGAGATTCATTAACCGAACACTGTCAAAGGAAACCTTCCTTGTAGGCGGGGCTTGTGTGCTGCACGCAGCGAGCTCGTGTGAAGCGCTGATAAAAGCTACTGAATAATAAAGCGTTTTAGCAGTTAGTCATTAGGTAATATGTTCTCCGATACAACAGAAGAGTATATATTGTCTACGGTGAAAAACAGAAAGGGGGTTCTCCTTCGGTGGAAAATAAGTAAGGACGCTCGGTAAACGGAGTCTAGTCGCTCTAAAAAAATCTCTAAAAAAAAAATGTATATATATAAAATTAAATCCAAGGAGAGATCAAGAACTCTATGAAGGTCTCGCAATAAAAATCATATGCTAACTACTTAATAGGGAATCGGTCGTGAGTATCGTTAATCAAATTGGGAACGAAATTACGCTACAGAAACGTACGCTAGAACGAATTATTTTGATCGCAAACGAAACGATCGTTTTCAAAATCCACTAAATAAAGATCGACAAAGTATACACGAGATACAAAATCGATTTCCAACGTCTAGGAGAAATCAAAGATTTTTACGAGTTGCACAATATATATGTATATATATATATATGTCGAACGAGATTCGAGAGTTGTGTTTCTCTTATCGTGATAGAAACAGTTTCGTACTTACAATTTTCGACCGAGGAAAACTGTCTCTGGTTTTGACCGTAGCTCATTGAAACACCCTGTGTATAGTGGCAACAAGTTTAAAGGGGCGCGTACTAACTACATCAGTTAGTGTTGTTAGACGAACGGTCAAGTATTGCTGAAGAATTATATTACTGCAGAGTCGATGAGTTAGGCTTTTGTTCGAGGGTGGGGGGGGGGGGGGGAAGAGGCATCTTTGCGCATTCTCGCAGGCCTGTGCTTCCTTCCGATTGTGCTGATTTACCGTTTTCTTGGGATTGTTACTGGCATTTCGTGTTTCAAGGTTTCTATCGCGTCCTTTCGAAGTTTCTTTTCTATTCAGGCAATTTTCGTGGCTCTGTTCAGATTATTTTGCACCATTCGTTTTTTTAAATTGTGCAACTTCTTCTTTAACTACTCGTGACTTCTTTCGCAGCTGTGTTTATTTAACTTAGTTCTTGGTTGATAATTTATATATAAACGATATCTTTATCCATTATGTGTTTCATAGTTAATAATTTACTATAAGCAAAACGAACATTCTGAATCCATTATGTGTCTGCATTATTTCATAGTTCATAATTTATTTCAAGCAAAATTGAAAATCCTTGTCCATTATGTGACCACATTATTCCATAGTTAATAATTTAATGTAAGCAAAATGAATATTTCGAATCCGTTATGTGTCTACATTATTTCATAGTTAATAATTTACTATGAGCAAAATTAAAGAATTTTATCCATTATGTGTCTACATTATTTCATAGTTAATAATTTACTTTGAGCAAAACTGAAAATCCTTATCCATTATTTGCCTATATTATTTCGTAGTTAATAATTTACTATAAGCAAGATTGAAAATCCTTACCCGTTACGTGTCTACGTTATTTCATAGTTAATAATTTACTTTAAGCAAAATGAAAAGTCTGGATCTACATATAATGTACCTGCTGTCCAGCGTATGTGTAAATATTTTAAATGTGTTTTATGATATTGTTTAGAGGTCTAGAATAGATTTGAATTTGATTTTCGACAGCACATAACTGTCGTGTCAACTTCAAGCTGACAAAAACTGAACCCGACCTCGAAGTCTGTTTATTTTCATTCGGTGTGGTCACGGCGGTTATGTGCAGTTCGAAAGTGATGGAGTGAGTGTAGCTGTTCTAAAATTATGTAAGTAATACATATTTTACTGTCACATATTGTTCCAAGAATATTTCGAATTAGAAATTCGATAATCTTTCGAATTAAAAACTTCGAATTTCTGTTTTAATTATACATTCATTATTTGATTGCGGATCTTTCTGCGAATTCTCCTTCTTAGATTTCACAAAAATTCGCGTTAAATCTACTTCTTCAACTAAAACATTATTGTAAAAAGCATATAAAAATGCCGTCTGTTAATTTATACGTTCTCTTGCATTTTAGAGATCTCCAAATGCCATAAGCGCATAAAGATCTGCCGTCAGCCCGTTGTTAAAATTTGCGTCATAGTTATAAACGTTCCGCAAACGCAGACGCAATTGCACAAGCCTTCCGAAAGACCACGAAACAATTTTTACCAGGTTTCAATGTCACGTGTTGATATCGATCAAACGATTTAATCTTGAAATCTCTTGAAACTTCGAGAGGCCGGCGAGATTCGTAAAACAATGGGAGACAATCGTCGAAACGGAATCGATCGGAAGAATCAGCCAGGTTAAAAATTGCAACGCAGTGAGGACCTTGCATAGTCAAGTGACGCTGCAACGGTCGTCCGTCCGTAGGCAAGTTTCTGCCACCGGAAGTAGTGCTCTGAACGCTAAAAGGAGCGCTTCCACTCTCGCCATGGTGAACGGAACAAAAATAGTACAATAGAAAAAAAAACGAAAGAAAGAAAGAAAGGACAGATAAAAACAGTTAGGGAGAAAAGAAAGACAAGACAACGCTATCCTAAAATGGCGTTTTGCATTAGACAAAGCTGCGAACGATTCGGATACCATGGGTACATTCCGAAGCGAATGAATTAGGTATATATATGTATATATATATATAATGTATATAATGATCGGTCGAAATATCGAATCGGGTATTGTCGGGCCATCTTTGCACGGTGTACAGGCACATAATTCTCGTGTCGACACGCAATGTTGTTTTTCTTTTTTTTATACATAGATAAAGGCTACTTACATGACGATTCGCCTAACAATCCTAATCTGTCTAAAATAAATACGATTTGTTGGTCCCTCTACACTTTAGCTTTATCTTGAGTTGCTTATTGTCAGAAGAGCTAGAAAGGGTAAAATAGTGAAAAACTAGAATGAAACCAAACGTGAGAAACGAGCTCTTCTCTCTCGGCTTTCTCTTTTAGGGGAACGTGCATCAAGCGAGAAAACAAAACAAACAGAATATCGTGGTACAGTATTATCAGTCGGGGGAGTAAAACAACAACAATAACAACAACAACAACAACAACAATAACGAAACAAGGAGGGTGAAGAGAGAGAGAGAGAGAGGGGGAGAGAGAGAAAGAGAAATAATACAAAACAGATTAAATTATCGGCGTGTGAAACGCTGCAGGAGACGACAACTTAAGACTTTGACAGACTAAAAGATGCAATAAAAGGGGCATGCAAGGTGTCGATTATCGTTAAATCATGCAGCACATTCGCTATCACGGTGGGATCGATCGAACCTGTTAGAAAAAGAAAGCTTGTAGACGTGATTGTTCTTTCTCTCGATCGTTCGTCCGCTTTCGTTAAGTAACACGACGAGGATGCTTGTCGCGTGCGTCGATCTATCGATCGGTTCACGATCGAACATTCCGCAACAATGTTGCTTCGAGATTCTCCTGTATGTACACCTCCCTAATCTCTCGGAAAAACAACGACACAGTAACCGAACATTTTTCTGGGACACTGCATACCTTTGTGAACCTTGTTGCTTACAATCTCGTGCGCCTTCATCTTGGCGGACGAAGAATGTGGATTATTGTGTGAAGTGTGTAAAATATTCCTAAAATGTTTGCCCAAATTCTCTGCAAAATTTTCTGCGTTTTTGTCTTTCTTTCAGTTTTTAAAATATTGCTGTCATTCTCTTTGAAACATTTTACCAAATTGTATGACGATTTTGAACACTGTACTACCAAAAACATCCCTGAGAAAGCATCTTTGGAACCAGTGGAACGACCACCTGACGTTTTAGGCCTAGCAAGCATTGTTAACGATTGATATTTCTTGCTCTATTAAGAATCAGAAACCTGAATTTGTTTCGACTTTCCGTCATTTTTATTACAATAGATTCGTATGAAACAGTATTTTTTAAAACCATCGAAACGCATTTGATTTCACTTTATAAATTGCAAGAATGAATCCACCGAGATTCCAAACATCCTCTATCGCAGTATGCTAATGAATAGACTGCGAATTTGTATGCAAAATAAAAATCGTCTGTGATAATTGCAACATAACAAAGCTATTTTCACATAGATTTCATAATTTAATGATTTTAATAAGTTGAGAAAGATAGAACAGTAGTTTGAAGCTCTTCAAATGGTTTCGCTACTTTGCTCTCGATCTATTCAGTTATAAATGCATAAAATCCGCGGAGCCCACTAATAAATAAATCCCGAAAGTAGCACTACAATGATCTCCAATGATAATACAAAAATCGGACCCCTAATTCCAGTGTAATAATAAAACTACGTTGCTCTAAAAATAACATCCCCCAAAATTCAGATCCCCTGGAATTGTCAAAAAATCCCACTAGCTTACGCACGGTCCATCCAGTCAAACATTTTTGGAACATTCGAAGTCGTCTGTATCGAGTGATGTGTATCGCTAAATCGGCTGCAGTTAAACATTTCGAGTGTTCAGAGCGGTGGCTTACATGGTTGACCAAACAAACAGCTTGTACTCTCTTTCGTTTTCGTAAATAGAAATAAATAAAAATGAAGGGTAATTCGTACCCAGCTTGCCTCGGGGAATTGTTAGAGAGGGTGTAGATGGCACGTTGGAATGTTTGTGGCTCCAGGGTAAGAAAAATTGCTAGTAGGACCACCAGCGAAGCGGCGGCTACGCTCATCCAACATGCGCAGCCTGCTCTACCGGAAGTCTTCCTCCTAGGCGTTCCCTCAACCGTGCTCGAGCAAACTGACCGTACCGAACTCTCTGTTTCTGTCGCTTAAAACATTACACGCCTCCTATGAAACGTTCTATCCGGCTCCATCGCCGAGATCTTCATTCTCGGCGAACTTGTTTCGCATTCTCGCGCTCCCACGCCGTGATTAGTATGAAGAGACCAGCGAGATACGCGGTCCGATTCGTCCCTGATCACACTGCATTTAGGATTCTCGAGATTCCAGAGAATTTAGACTTTTCTACATTCTACTCCTTGCAACCAAGCTGATCGTTTTCAATATTCGAATCGCGTTTGACATTTTTAGCTACTTCTTTGGCTAGTAAAAATTCTTCGACTCCAAGGGAATTCAGTTTATTGAATGTTGTGCTCTGATCAGTATTTTTCAATACTGTTTTTTAAGTTCTCAAGAAATACTGTATACTAAGATTTTTAGTAGATTGTTTACTAACTAGACTGTGGTTCTTTGCGCAAAATTGAAATTCCTCGGAGTTCAAGCAACAGACAAAATGAAGAATTTCTTTGTGTACTTAATTTGTACTTAAATTGTATAACGGAAATGCATGAAGCACTTTAAGAACAATAATTTTCATTGTAAAGCAATGAGTCATATCCAGTGACATAATTGAAGAATATCTTTCAGGACTGTTTCTTAAGCTGGTAAAATGTTGACTTTGGATCTTTGTAAAGTTTCATCTTCATTCATTATCTGTTACAGCCAACATCGTTGTCGAACATTATAGTTTTTCGTGACACACATAAAATAAAAATTCTATTCGATTTGTTTAATGCATAAATCTTTCTCTTTCACAAATGCATAAAAATCCACTGTCTCGTGATCAGTCTAACAATCAAAAAGACAATATTGAACAGAATCAGCCTGTTTGTCAACCCTTTGCATATAATACAATAATAATAATAATAACAATTAAATAATAATAATAATAATTAAATAATAATAATTAAATTAAAGAAAATCAAAATAAAGCAAAATAAAAATGCAGATAACAAAAATACAGACAAAATAAAGAAAATTGAATAAACATGGAAACATTTTATTAAAGAAAAAATTTTGAATACGAAAATTGGAGAAGCTTGCGACGGAAAGACCCAAAGGGTTGCAGAATGCAATGTGGACGAAATCACAGAAATGCAGTCTCATTAGGGATCGCACCACGTAAATGAAGAAAATAGCAGGGATCGAGACGACGCTCGATTGACTTGGCAGCGATGCGACTGATTTGGTTGATAGTCCGTGACACATGAACAAACGGTATCCAGAAAATTTGGTAAATAGAACACATCGATAGCCCGAAAGCTGGGGAGCCGTTACTCTTGATGTTATTCACGAGATTCAGTACTCCGTGGGATTAATTGGATTGTTTCGTGGATTAAGTTCAGCCCAGTATGAAGCTTCGCTTGGGACAGGGTGTAGAACATGTAACATTGTGAAGCCGAAACAATAATTTCTCGTCGGTTTGAGCAATTCCGAGGCTTTGAGAATGTTTTTAGTGAGCTGTTACAATTACTTGATACGCATGGAGTGTAGAGTATAGCTAATTATGTTATAAGAGTAACCCATGTAATTTTGATGCTCGAAGTAGTATCCCGTGTTTACTTTTACTGGAGATCTCTTGGGGGCCAGGCGAATCGTTGTTGTGTTGATCTTTTTCTCGGAATGAAAGGATTAGTCTCTTTAATTATTGCCAGCCTTATTACCTCATGATCTCTGCATGTGATACACATGTGTAATCATGAAATGCTGTATGCGAGGTCCTGGATGTGTTTAAAAAGAAATATCCTGCTTGTGTGCACACAAAATCAGATTGTTGGAGAACAATATTTTTTACAGATTCAATAGAGATATAATTTCATATTATAGTGTAAATTATATTATTTTAAACAGTAAATCATTCATTTGATTTTAAATTGAATGCTGTACTTCGGAAATCAAATACTCATTTGATTTAAAGTATTCTTAAATAATAATTTATATATATATACTTGATGGATACATTGAACACTCATACCGAGTTTTATTTAATTTTACAATCTGCCTCTGATGCAAGAAAAATGTTTAACACTCGTTTAAAATACAAGCTTCTAATATCTCATTTTATACATGAAATGATTAAAAAGTAGTTTATCTTATGCATGAGATTGTTGAAATAAGAATACAATAAAAATAGTTCATTTTATGTATCTGTTTAGAGGAATAAAAATATCTTATTATCATGATCTATTAAAATAGAAGTATTCCATTTACTAAAATAATGCCATGTTGCCTAAACTAAATTGACTAATGATGAATCATTTACTATTTTAAATAGCATTTAAAAAATATATTTTTCCAAATTGTGTACATCTGTCATTTTCAGTGGGCATTGTAGGAAAAATTAGAGGGGGGATGGAGCAAGCCATTGATATTTCTTTTTGACCTTACAGAAATGTTTTTACACGTCACAATAAGATGTCTAACCATGGATGAACATCAGTGAAAAAAAAGTATGCTAGTCCCAGAAGCCCCTGATTCGCAACTTTATCCGTTCAACCAAATAGGCAAAAATAGGGGGAAGAGAATCTTCCTTTCGAACGAAGCACATTGATCTCGATCACCAAAACACCCTATGAAAAACAGTTCTCATCCCCACTGTAAGTCCACGAAGAATCAGAAAACCGCACAGGTACGCAGATTCACGAACTGCCTTGTCACAAGCTTTGTTTTTCTTTTGCGAGTAGTTATCGTTCTCGTAATTTTGATTCAACGTTCTTCCACCTTGTGCAAATACACCTTTTTGTTAACAGTTGTTATATGCAAGCTTGATATATCATGCAACGCCGTGTGCAAAGAATATGTATAAATTAAGCGAAGATTGTGCTATCGCTTTCTGCTCCTAGCAAAATTAATTAGGCTCTTCTTCCGCCCTCCGCAACAGTTGATTCCGAACATTCATTACACAGATCATTATACGGATTTTAGTGTCTAAGCAATGGTTAGCCAGAACAAGATTAGTATTCATGTTATATACCACATTTGTGTCAATTGATTATTTCGTCGTAATAGATTTTCAACCAATAGACAATCTATTTAACTGCAACTGTGCAACTAGAACTATCGATCACACTGTTCAACAAATTTTGATTTTCTGTGCATAGTCAAAATCGAATACGTTCAAACATAATCCTTCTCTCAACTTTCGCGTGCAATTTAACTACAAGTTCTTACGATTCGAAAAGTTTTGTGTTCAAACAGCGATATTTATGTAATTTTTATTGATATGTTAAATTATTCTGTGAACTTCTCTCAAGAATATGGTACAGTTTAATATTAAAGTGTGTGAACAGGTATACATTTTTCAAGGATGGTTGAAGTGGAAAGTTATACAAAAATGTACTTTTACTAATTAGTTTACAAGAGACGAGGATCAAGTCTCGTTTTTTCAAAGGCGCTGTATATATTTATAAAATTTTTAATTTGAGGAAGTGAAACTTTTCGATCTGAATTGAAAATCAGCTGTAGCATAGAATCTCTCTTCAAATGAGCCCTCGAATCATCAAAATACAAAGTTCCATTCAAAAAAACAATATTAATCAACTGTTTCTTTACTGTTTAATGCCTACACACAAAATAATTAGCTGTACTATATTATTCTATTTTGGGCAATCTCTAGAATAATTTTACAAAAGCTATTACTCAGTGTCACTAAAAGCTGGATATCGGTGTCCGGGTCTATTTTAACCCAGCGTTTCAGAACCATTATCCTAATATTATTCCTAATCTTCTCATTCAAATTGTCCCAAGTTAGCATCAGCACTATTTGATCCATTTGATCTGTCTGCTCTATTTCATCCATATGATTTGATCTATCTCAAAATTATTCTTTTTTCACACGATTTCCATAATAGCAGTTGTGGCGTAGTGACAGACCTTGTTGACTACAATTTTTTTATCCGATCTCGTCACGAGAATATTTCTTTCTATTTCATTTCTTCCCACAAAACCAATTAGACTATGCTAGAATTTAATTATGTCAAACTGTCTATTGACTCATATAATTTAAAACAGTATAATAGACATTTAATTATTGACTCACAATCTAAAACAGTATAATAGACGTTTATTTACTGACTCATAACTTAAAACACTATAATACACAGTTTAACATAATTAAATTCTACCATACTAGAATTGGTTTCGCGAAAGAAAAAATTCAAAAGAATATTCTCACGACAAAGTAAAATAAATAAATAAAATAAAAACCTATAGTCGGTAACGATTGTCACTGCGCCACTAGATCAAAGTGGCTTCCACTATGCGACTCTACTCGACTACAGCTTCTTACAACCTTCATTTTCCCACAATTGGCTCGACGTCTACGGCTAAAATTCTATACAAGGTTCGCTGCACGTCTAGACGCATAGCCCAAAATTCGTTGAACAGTGGCATGAATCACGATCGACAGACTCCCAAACTGCCCGCTCCCAAGAGCAGAACACCCCTGCTAGAACAGTGTCTCCCTAGGAAGCTACGTCGGCGAGGATAGAACAGAAAGAGAATAAAACGGTGTGGAGAAAATGGGACGAGGGTGATGTCTATATCATGCACATAAGAAGCGAGATCCACGAGATGAACGCGCTGGCCCGCGGTCTCCCCGTGTCTGCCGTATCACGGTGTATCGAGAGTAAGAACGTTGGATAGCGGGATATGTACATTGCTTACTTAGAAGGTTAGCTGTGAGTGCGGTACCTTGGTCGTCCTCCAACGGGGACAGCTCCGCACCTTCGTGCAGTGCTACATCAGACCCGCTGGAACTGCCCAGCGTACGCCTCTTGCTCGGCGATCTTCTCCTCGGCGGCGGCGAGCCGTCGCTCTCAGTGTCACTGTGCAAATCGTGCCTCGAGCTACCGTTTTTCGGATAAGTGTCCCCGTTCCCGGAGCCGGGCGAGGTGTCCTGCGACACCTGCGACTGGCTCTCCCAGTGCTCGAGCTTCTCACTCTGCCGCCACGGCTCCGAAGCCTCGGCTCTCAGTGCTCTCGCCTGATCGACAACTATCGTGTCCTCGGTCACCGTTCTGACAGTCTGCTCGACTTTGCTGGCACCGAGAGACTCGGTCGCTAGACACCGTACAGTCGTCATCACGGTCTTCACCACGGTCTCGTCGGTCTGTTCAGTCTTCGTTGAAATCGTTGTGCGGGTTATCGTCTGGTTAGCCGCGACGCCGCTCTCGTCTCTGTCGGCTATCGCCAGGGCCTCGAATGGATCGGCCATCGTGGCTAAACTGTGCGTCTGCTCTATCTGGGACATCTCTAGCTTCGTCAAGTCGGTTTTCTCCTGGAGATCGTCGGGCGCCTGGATCATTGACTTTGGATCCTCTTCTTTGATCATCGGGCCTATCTCCGGGGAATCCTCTTTGGACACCGCGTTTTGTACGGGGACAGGGACGAGCTCGTTCTCCAGCGGTTTCTTCACCATGATCGGTATCTTACTCTTCGGGCTGGTCTTATCCGGCGAACGGTCCTCGCGCTTCGACTGGTCCGTGGCCTTGTGTTTCGGACTGTACGGCGTGTACGAGGTGTCTTTGAGGTCTAGATGAAAGTCTGTTTTGATGGACGACCTGGTGGAGTGACGCGGGGCGGGAACAGGTTGCTTTGTTGGAGCAGAAGTAGCATGCCTCTCTACAGTCCCATCAATCTCAGCCGAATCATGCCCTGACCCATCCAAAAGGACATGGACAAGAACAGGAACAAGGACATAAAGCACATTGATACACACTAAGAATTTCGATCTCTAGCCCAGCTGCGACAGATGGACTCGAAAAGATTTCAGCGTGTCTGTCTCACGTTACGTAACGTCGGCGTGTGCACGCGCGACGCTTGTAGTAGATACTCGTCCGGCGAGCATCGATCACGGTTCGATCACGGTTCGATCACTCTTGCGCGTGCACGCGTCGTTCTATTGTCTGTGTGCTCGTCTCTTTGTATCGTGTGTATAGGTTTACTGTGTTCGTGTGTATGTGTGTGTGTGTGTGTGTGTTCGTACGTCTATGTCGATGTGTCTGCGTGTGTGTGCGTGTTCTTTTGTGTGCAGAACACTTTCTACATTTAGTATTTAGTTAGTATCAATACTGCAACAGGATTAGTTTGTTTATAAAAAGAAACACTCAGTTAAATGGTGTCTAATCGTGGCGCCTGAGTCTTACTAAAACGTACCCGGAGCAGCGACGGTCGCAGTCATCGATGATGATGATGATCGTTTTTGCGGGAGAATTTCGGATCGAAAGCGTGTGTCGTGTGGCGATCCGTGGAAGCGAACGATCGGTCTTTACAGTGAAGAATCAGCGGAGAATGATTCAGAGTAATTATGCTACAGAACTAAGAGAAAGAGAACTCAGGGCTAGGCTACCACTTTCAGCTAGTTTCAAGCGCGGTGCTGTCAACGCGAGCCTTCTGTCCAACGATTTCTTCGAGATGCTGGCAGATTTCGTTCGAGGACTTCGCAAGACACTGGGCTTGGGTAGCGGAGCCGGTTACTGTGGCCTGATCAATTTCTGTGCATGTAGTTTATTTTAAAGCATAATCGACTCTATATTTATCGAGTAAGACATTTTCAATTTTTTTATTATTTTATTTTGACTATTTTTGAATAAAAAAGTTTAATATGTATTATTTGATGAATGTAGAGTTAATTACGTTGAAAAATAAACTCAAGGCACAGCAATTGGTCGCTCCACGGCAACCGGGGCCGTTATTCTATTGTGAATCGAACTGTTTCGTTGTTCTGTGGATGTCTCGATGGGACTGCGAGTAATTTTGTGGATGTATGATCATAAATGATGTTCTTTTGTGGAGTTGCAGAAATCTGATACAGGTTTTAAGTACTTTGTGTCGGGGGTGGTCCTTGTGAATTCTTCTCGTTTGTTACGATGAGGTCGAAGATCGAAGAGTTTTCGTACTCTGAATTGAATTCGATTTTTTGAGAATTATCGATCAGCCAATGTGTCACATTTAGTACTATTTTCAGTGTATAGATATTTAGTACTATTTTCAGTGTATAGATATTTAGTACTATTTTCAGTGTATACTTGTTTAGTACACTTTCCAGTGTACATTTATTTAGTACACTTTCCAGTGTACATTTATTTAGTACACTTTTTACTGTACATTTATACAGTATTTATTGTACAGTATTTATTTACTGTACACTTTTTCAGTGTGCTATCACTAGGTTCTTACAAAGTGTCAATATTGACTATAAGTATAGAAGACTATTTTAGCATAATCTAATTTCAGAAAAATAGTGAAGAGTTTGATCAATAGTTTTCATAACCAATTGGCATACTCGAGAACTTCAACTTTCTCAATCAAATATCACAAGAATCTAGACAATTTTACATCTCTCTCAAACAACTACGGTATGACAAAATCGCATAGTCGAAGTGCAAAACTGTGAACACGTTCTAAAAATTAAGGATATTGCCACTTCTGACCTACAAGAATGATTGATACAGAAAGTACATTGACAAAGTAAATTATAAAATAGTTAGTACTAATAACAGACATTTTGCATCTTCGAATACAAGGAAAACTCACAAGAAACACAGTACCGTACCACTTCGAATTCTACGTCAGACTTTCCAAAACTGACACGGAACTTCATCCCTCGAGATCCTGCCACTAAATTGCTCGTAACACGCATCCAGACATAGAGCGATTGCATCTAGAGCCGATTGTAAAGCATTCTTATGGTAAATTCTCTCAAATTGTCCCTCAGATTGCGCACAAAAATGGGCACTTTGGGAAGAGCAGGTACGATTATGCGAGCCTCGCAGCTCGTTCTTACAATTGCCGATTGTCAACAATCATAAAAATGATCCGCAAGGCTCGAATAGTCGTATCTCCTCTTCTCAAATTGCCCATTTTCTGTGTACAAGCTTGCAATTTCAGAGAATCCACTGCAATGCACGATATCGTAAAGAAAGTGACGTGCAACGTCGTCGGACCAAATTCGTGAACGCAAAGAGACCGGCAGAGACCCGGATCGCGTTGACAGCGCCGCATAGACAGAGGATAGAAAAATGGATGATGTCGCGAGCGTCGATGTTATTATACAAATGTAAACGGACGCGTATATTGACAGTCTCGCGTCAATGCCACAAACGAGGTATCTATTTAGTAAGAGACACGTGCGCACAATATTAGTCAGTGTGAAAGCGTCGGCAGGTGCTAACTATGGAAGATAAAGCTAAATATAAATGAGGGCACCAAAATAGAATTCTGCTAACGTATTGATCTTGGGCCTGTGATCTGTGTATACGTGGAACTTCTAGCTCTCGGCTGACCATACGTTACCTGCTTTCGACATCGTGTACGCTTGCTCGGCTAGGCTCTGCGCCCGTCTGGCAGCCTCCTCGGTGACATCTGGAAAAGTCATCGAACAACGATGTGAGCACGATCCGATAATCGCTCGGCGAACATTCAAAGCAATGAACTGACAAAGAGATTAGATGAATGATGGTTTTTCCCTGCATGGCATACCTCGGTTCATGCTTCTCTAGCCGTGGGTTCTCCTGTTAATTCAATGAGATAATAGTAATAATAATAATAGTAAGAATAATAATAATAAGGATAATAATAATAATCATATAATAATAATCGTATTTTCTCTCTCGATTAATCAACGTGTGACGTCTATACGATACGCTAGAATCAACAAAATAAACAACGGATCGGTGAGGAACCAAGATGGCCGCCGCCGCGCGTGGGCGGACACAGATATCGTAATTACTATCATTAAGANTTCAGTGTATAGATATTTAGTACTATTTTCAGTGTATAGATATTTAGTACTATTTTCAGTGTATACTTGTTTAGTACACTTTCCAGTGTACATTTATTTAGTACACTTTCCAGTGTACATTTATTTAGTACACTTTTTACTGTACATTTATACAGTATTTATTGTACAGTATTTATTTACTGTACACTTTTTCAGTGTGCTATCACTAGGTTCTTACAAAGTGTCAATATTGACTATAAGTATAGAAGACTATTTTAGCATAATCTAATTTCAGAAAAATAGTGAAGAGTTTGATCAATAGTTTTCATAACCAATTGGCATACTCGAGAACTTCAACTTTCTCAATCAAATATCACAAGAATCTAGACAATTTTACATCTCTCTCAAACAACTACGGTATGACAAAATCGCATAGTCGAAGTGCAAAACTGTGAACACGTTCTAAAAATTAAGGATATTGCCACTTCTGACCTACAAGAATGATTGATACAGAAAGTACATTGACAAAGTAAATTATAAAATAGTTAGTACTAATAACAGACATTTTGCATCTTCGAATACAAGGAAAACTCACAAGAAACACAGTACCGTACCACTTCGAATTCTACGTCAGACTTTCCAAAACTGACACGGAACTTCATCCCTCGAGATCCTGCCACTAAATTGCTCGTAACACGCATCCAGACATAGAGCGATTGCATCTAGAGCCGATTGTAAAGCATTCTTATGGTAAATTCTCTCAAATTGTCCCTCAGATTGCGCACAAAAATGGGCACTTTGGGAAGAGCAGGTACGATTATGCGAGCCTCGCAGCTCGTTCTTACAATTGCCGATTGTCAACAATCATAAAAATGATCCGCAAGGCTCGAATAGTCGTATCTCCTCTTCTCAAATTGCCCATTTTCTGTGTACAAGCTTGCAATTTCAGAGAATCCACTGCAATGCACGATATCGTAAAGAAAGTGACGTGCAACGTCGTCGGACCAAATTCGTGAACGCAAAGAGACCGGCAGAGACCCGGATCGCGTTGACAGCGCCGCATAGACAGAGGATAGAAAAATGGATGATGTCGCGAGCGTCGATGTTATTATACAAATGTAAACGGACGCGTATATTGACAGTCTCGCGTCAATGCCACAAACGAGGTATCTATTTAGTAAGAGACACGTGCGCACAATATTAGTCAGTGTGAAAGCGTCGGCAGGTGCTAACTATGGAAGATAAAGCTAAATATAAATGAGGGCACCAAAATAGAATTCTGCTAACGTATTGATCTTGGGCCTGTGATCTGTGTATACGTGGAACTTCTAGCTCTCGGCTGACCATACGTTACCTGCTTTCGACATCGTGTACGCTTGCTCGGCTAGGCTCTGCGCCCGTCTGGCAGCCTCCTCGGTGACATCTGGAAAAGTCATCGAACAACGATGTGAGCACGATCCGATAATCGCTCGGCGAACATTCAAAGCAATGAACTGACAAAGAGATTAGATGAATGATGGTTTTTCCCTGCATGGCATACCTCGGTTCATGCTTCTCTAGCCGTGGGTTCTCCTGTTAATTCAATGAGATAATAGTAATAATAATAATAGTAAGAATAATAATAATAAGGATAATAATAATAATCATATAATAATAATCGTATTTTCTCTCTCGATTAATCAACGTGTGACGTCTATACGATACGCTAGAATCAACAAAATAAACAACGGATCGGTGAGGAACCAAGATGGCCGCCGCCGCGCGTGGGCGGACACAGATATCGTAATTACTATCATTAAGAACGATCTCTCGGATAATATATATCTATGTATATATATGTTAAAAAATAGCGTAATTAAAAACCTGAAAACATGCATTAAAAGAAAAATTGTTAAGGAAGTTAAGAACGCACAAACTGAAAAAATCAGAACAGCAAATAAATCGAAATCATGTATATTTTTTTCTTTTTTTTCTCGTATTTTTTCTTTTTTTTTCTCTTTTGTTTTCTATTTAAATGTTGTTCTACGCTAGATCGTGTATCCTGCCCCGCGTTGTTACACATTTAGGGGGACACTGTCATACTATAAAGTGACAAAGTGTTAACGGATCGGATCCACTGTTATAGCAAGTGAATTGACACATAAGAGACCGCGAACATCTAGATTCCGACAATCGGGTGACGAGAACGTGAGAGAGCACAATAAAATTACGCATTGTTTTCACTCCGCACTTTATAGTACGCGTCCCGGAAATATTACTTTGGTCCTCGTTTCTCGTAAGAGAGACGACAAAAATTAGTACACTAACGAGTGATTGATAATCGGATAGATAGATAGATAGATAGATAGATAAGAGAGATAGAGATAGAGAGTGTTAGGAATTATATTACGAATGACACAGTGCAATGACCGGCGTCCCGGTCACTTTGGTAAACGACTACCAAAAACTTAAGTTACAGAAAAGCGTCAACTTAATTAATCATGTTACACACAGCTGGTATGTAATATGTAGAACGCAATTATTGCAAGATACCTTCGATTCTATTGTCAGTGTACTCGGCGAGACTGGGTGGTGGGGTCGCCGCCGTCCGCACAGACTTTCTTACGACTGTGGTGACGGTTTGCCGTGTGCGAGGCTCGAGGTGCTCTACTTCGCTAGATATCGTGACTACCCTAACCGAACCGTCGTCCGGGCTAACCCTCGGGGAGCTAACTTTCTGTGGAATGCGGGACACCTTCTGCGACTTCACTTCGGTCAACCGAACGTGGACCTCGGACTCGGTGGACATAGGGTCGACGGACCGGGGACTCGAGCTAACTATTGTTTGCGTCACTACCCCCCTATCGCCTGTCCTAACTACCCTAGTCTCGGGGCCCAGTAACCTTTGATTCTCCTGCCAGATTGATTCGTCTAACGCGGAGCCGTGTCTAGGGTCGTCCACGAACATGGTCCTATCGCTTCTGACGACCAGCCTTTGAGCAAGTTGCTCCTTCGCTAACTTGTCGGACTCGTCGACCTTGGTAACCACCCTCTGCGTCCTCTCGACGGTCTCTTTGACCTCGTCGGACAGTTCGTCGCTGTGTTTCCCACCCTTGAACAAGCCAGAGAGGAACCCACTGCCCTTCTCTTTGGCCTTCTTGCTCTTGTCTTTCACCGCCTCTGCGGTGTCAGCGACTGCTTCGGCACCTGCCGACACCTTCTGCTTCGCCGACTCTGCGCCCTCTTTCACTCCCTTCGACAGTTTCTCTTTGCCCAGTTGGATGCTTTCGGCTACTTCGAGGACTGCTACTTCAGCCTTGCCCTCGGCCTGCTTAGCGCCCTCTGATAATTTCGCCGTCGCGGATCTGCCAGCTTCCGAAGTCTTTTGCAAGCCTGTCGCCACCTTCTCGCTGACCTTCCCGGCCGCGTCTTTCGCAGCAGTGGCAACCTTGTCCTTTGCGTCTCTGACGTCGCTCACGGCTTTGTCTTTAGCAGCTTCGAGGTCCTTCGACTTCTCCTTCGCTGCTCCTCGGAGCTTAGCCTCCTCCTCCTCTGCCTCTTTCTTGGTTTCGTCGAGGAAGTCCTTGACGTCGTCGGTAACCTCTTCGGCTGCGTGCTTCGCGCCCTTGATGAGGCCGGAGAGGAATCCTCCGCCCTTCTCTTTCGCCTTTTTGGCCTTATCTTTCGCCGCGTCTGCGCCCTCGGCGACTGCGTCGACTCCGGACGCGATCTTCTCTTTCACCAGAGTCGCATCCTCTTTGATCTCCTTGGACACCGCGTCCTTCGCGGCCTTCGCCTTGTCTTCGGCTTGCTTGATTCCTGTTGAGGTTTTCTCGGCGACAGCTCTGCCAGCGTCGGACGCTTTCTGGAATCCGTCGGTGATCTTCTCGCCGACTTTATCCTTGGCGTCCTTCACCGAAGCTGTCATCTTCTCTCGAGTGTCTTTCACTTGGTCTTCTGTCTTGTCTTTGGCTGCTTCGACGTCTTTCGCCTTCTGCGAAGCTGCCTCGCGAACATTGGCCTCCTCCTCGGCCGCCTCCTTCTTCGTCTCGTCGAGGAAGTCTTTGACGTCTTCGGTAACCTCATCAGCAGCGTGCTTCGCGCCCTTTATGAGTCCGGAGAGGAAACCACTGCCTTTCTCTTTCGCTGCTTTAGCCTTTTTAGCGGCTTTGTCCTTGGCAGCTTCTGCTCCTTCTGCAACCGCTGCGGCGCCGGATGATATCTTTTGCTTTGCAGCTTCCGTGTCCTCTTTCACTTCTTTGGACACCTTTTCTTTAGCTGTCTTCGCGCTGTCGGCTGCGTCTTTGGCAGTGGCAGCAGCTTTGGCTTCGACCTGCTTAGCTCCGGTCTTCAGATGTTCAACTGCAGCTTTGCCGGTGTCTGCTACACTTTGCGCACAGTCCGAGACTTTCTGCGCTACTTTGTCTTTCACATCCTTAGCGCTAGATAAAGCTTGATCCTTTGTACTTTCAACGTCCTTCATCTTCTCCGCAGCTGCTGCGCGAGCTCTGGCCTTCTCCTCCGCTGCATCTTTCTTCGTTTCGTCGAGGAAGTCCCGCATGTCTTCGGAGACTTCCTCGGCAGCGTGCTTCGCACCTTTGATCAGGCCAGAGATCAGTCCGCCGCTCTTCTCCTTCGCCTTCTTTGCCTCTTTAGCGGCTTTGTCCTTCGCAGCCTCTGCAGTGTCTGCTACTTTGTCTACTCCGGATGCGGCTTTATCTTTCACCAAAGTTGCGTCCTTCTTGATCTCCTCGGATACCTTGCCGGCTGCGTCCTTGACGCCAACTGCTAGGTCTTTGGCTGCTGCCTCTGCCATTTTAGCAGTGCCCACAGCTTTCTCACCAGCATCGGATACCTTCTGTACTCCAGCAGCTGCTGTGTCACTGACCTTCTCTTTGACGTCCGTCACTGCTGTGGAAACTTTGCCTTTAGCGTCGCTGAGATCGGCTGCTGCCTTGTCCTTCATGGCTTCCAACTCTTTAGCTCTTTTGGCAGCTGCTTCGCGAGCTTTAGCCTCTTCTTCAGCAGCCTCCCTTCGCGTTTCTTCGAGGAATCCCTTGACATCGTCGGAGACATCATCAGCTGTGTGTTTGGCTCCTTTGAACAGTCCAGAAAGGAAGCCACTGCCCTTTTCTTTGGCTTTCTTGGCTTCCTTTGCAGCTCTGTCTGTTGCTGCCTCTGCACCGTCCACGACAGCTTCTACGCCGGATGACACCTTGCTCTTCACCACCTCAGCGTCCTCTTTAATTTCTTTGGACACTTTGTCTTTCGTGTCCTTGGCTCCGTCGGCTACGTGCTGTGCTGCTGACTTTGTCTTGTCCTGGATCGCTTTAGCTCCGTCGGTGACCTTTTCACCAACAGCTTTGCCAGTGTCAGACACTTTCTGAACACCGTCTGAAACCTTGTCAGTGATTTTATCCTTTACGTCCTTTGCATCCGTGACGATTTTGTCCTTTGCATCCTTTGCTTCAGCTACCACCTTGTCTTTGGCTGCTTCAGCATCTTTCACCTTCTCAGCAGCTGCGTCGCGAAGTCTATCCTTCTCTTCAGAGGCTTCTCTCTTCGTCTCGACGAAGAACTCCATGACATCGTCGGAGACCTCATCAGCTGCGTGCTTTCCTCCCTTGAACAATCCAGAGAGGAAGCCGCTGCCCTTCTCTTTGGCCTTTTTAGCCTCCTTCGCTGCTTTATCTTTCGCAGCCTCTGCGCTGTCAGCAACTGCAGCCACACCAGATGCGACCTTGTCCTTTGCGATGGCAGCATCTTCTTTAATTTCTTTCGCTGCGGCATCCTTTGCAGCCTTAGCTCCATCAACTACCTTCTGTGCTGCTATTTCCGTCTTGTCTTTGACATCCTTAGCTCCGTCCGCGATCTTCTCACCAGCTGTCTTGCCAGTATCTGCCACTTTTTGTGCTCCAGCTTGAACTTTTTCGCTGATCTTGTCCTTCACATCTTTAGCTGTTGCAACAACTTTATCTTTACCAGATTTTACATCGTCGACAACTTTGTCTTTAGCAGCTTCAACGTCTTTTGCTTTTTGTGCTGTTGCTTCCTTTAATTTCGCCTCTTCTTCAGCAGCTTCCTTCTTGGTTTCATCCCAGAACTCCTTAACGTCATCAGACATCTCGTCCGCAGACTGCTTTGCTCCTTTGAACAAGCCAGAGAGGAAGCCACTACCTTTCTCCTTCGCTTTTTTGGCTTCCTTAGCTGCTTTGTCCTTTGCAGTTTCTGCGCTCTCTGCAACTGTGTCGACTCCAGTAGAAACCTTGCTTTTAACAGCCTCTGTGTCTTCCTTAACTTCTTTCGTAACTTTATCTTTCGCTGTCTTGATATCATCAGCTACTCCTTGCGCGGCAGACTTGACTTTGTCTTCGGCTTTTTTAGTTCCCTCCACCACCTTCTCACCGACAGCCTTACCAGCGTCGGATATTGTTTGCGCTCCACCTGCTACCTTGTCGGTGACCTTCTCTTTAACATCTTTCGCTGTAGCAGTAACTTTGTCCTTGGCGTCCTTAACATCAGCCACTGCTTTGTCTTTGACTGTTGTAGCATCCTTCAACTTCTCTGCCGCAGCCTCTTTCAATCTTGCTTCTTCGTCAGCTGCCTCTTTCTTCGTCTCATCAAGGAAATCAGTGACGTCTTCAACTACCTCGTCTGCAGCGTGCTTTGCTCCTTTAAATAGACCAGAAAGGAAGCCGCTACCTTTCTCCTTCGCCTTCTTAGCTTCTTTTGCAGCTTTTTCTTTCGTCGACTCTGCAGTATCAGCGATTGCATCAACGCCCGAAGACACTTTGTCCTTTACTGCCTCTGCATCCTCTTTAACTTTATCTTTTGCAGTTGTGGCAGCGTCGGTTACTTGCTGAACAGCTGTCTTCGTTTTCTCTTCAGCCTGTTTCGCTCCCTCAGAGATCTTCTCCCCAGTTGCTTTGCCAGCGTCGGCCACCATTTGAACTCCACCAGCGACCTTCTCAGTAACCTTATCCTTAGCATCTTTCACGCTAGCGGAGACCTTATCTGCTGCAGCCTTTCCTTCAGCTGCAACCTTATCTTTCACACCTTCTGCCTCTTTCGCCTTCTCGGCTGCTGCTTCCTTCAATTTCGCTTCTTCCTCAGCAGCCTCCTTCTTGGTATCATCAAGGAACTCTTTCACGTCTTCTGACACCTCATCGGCTGCGTGTTTCGCTCCCTTGATCAGGCCAGAAAGAAAGCCGCCGCTCTTCTCTTTCGCTTTCTTTGCCTCCTTCGCTACCTTATCCTTCGCGGCGTCTAAACTCTCAGCAGTCGCATCCACCCCGGACGCAACCTTCTGCTTCACTGCTGCGGCATCCTCTTTGATCTCAGTTGCCAGTTTGTCTTTCGCTGACTTAGCACCGTCAGCGACGTCTTTGACACTTTCCTTTACTTTAGCCTCTGTCTTTTTACCTGTCTCTGTGATCGTTTCGCCAACAGCCTTGCCTGCATCTGCCACTTTATCAACACCTGCGGACACCTTCTCGCTGATCTTGTCCTTGGTGTCCTTCACCGTCGCCACAGTTTTGTCTTTAGCTTCAACCACTTTATCCTTCGTCTGGTCCACACCATCGGCCACTTTGCCAGCAGCCTGCTTTGCTTTGTCTTCGACAGACTTTCCAACCTCGGCTGCCTTCTGGACTCCGTCGGACACCTTGTCGCTAACTTTGTCCTTGGCGTCTTTCGCAGCAGTGGCAATCTTGTCAGCTGCATCCTTCGCACCAGCTACTGCCTTATCTTTCGCCATTTCCACGTCTTTGGCCTTCTCAGCTGTTGCATCCCGAAGTCTAGCTTGCTCTTCCGATGCCTCCCTCTTCGTCTCATCCAGGAAGTCCTTGACGTCATCTGTAGCGTCCTCGACAGCATGCTTGGCTCCTCTGAACAAGCCAGAGAAGAAGTTGCCGCCTTTGTCTTTAGCTTTCTTCGCCTCCTTCGCGGTGGCGTCCTTTGCAGATTCTACGCCCTCGGCAGCAGCCTCCATTCCTGAAGAGATTTTCCTCTTCACAGCTTCAGTGTCCTCTTTGATTTCTTTGGACGCTTTGTCTGCTGCGTCCTTGACGCTGTCGCTGACGCCTTTAGCAGTGGCCTGTATCTTATCTTCAGTCTGTTTAACACCTTCGGATACCTTCTCGCCAACAACCTTTCCTGCGTCTGCTACCTTCTGGACTCCGTCGCCGATCGTTTTAGCTGCCTTGTCTTTACCATCCTCTGCTGCAACAACGATCTTGTCTTTAACGTCTTCCAGACCAGCGGCTGCTCTATCCCTCGCGTGCGCAACCTCCTCCAACTTTTCTTCAGCAGTTTCCTGAGCTCTGGTCTTCTCCTCTGACGCTTCCCTCTTCATCTCGTCGAGGAAGTCCGTCATGTGGTCGCTAGCCTCATCAGCCGAGTGCTTTGCTCCCTTGAACAGTCCCGAGAAGAAGTTGCTGCCCTTCTCTTTTGCTTTCTTCCCCTCTGTTGTAGCTTTATCAGCTGCAGTCTCAACTCCGTCAGCAACTGCACCGAATCCCGATGCAACCTGTTCTTTCACGATGGTTGCATCTTCTTTAACTTCTTTCGAAACTTTGTCCTTTGCAGCCTTAGCGCCATCGACGACTTTCTGAGCAACCGTCTCTGTCTTTTCTTTAACATCCTTAGCTCCGTCAGAGATCTTCTCACCGGCTGCTTTGCCAGCATCAGACACTTTCTGCACTCCATCCTGGACTTTATCCTTGACATCCTTGGCAGCGGTAGAAACCTTATCTTTCACGCCTTTGATATCGTCTACCACTTCGTCCTTCGCTGCCTTGGCATCCTTCAATTTGTTAGCAGCAGCCTCTCGCGCCTTCGCGTCCTCTTCAGCAGCTTCCTTCTTCGTCTCGTCAACGAAATCATGGATGTCGTCTGCCACGTCATCAACTGCGTGCTTCGCACCCTTCAGCAACCCGGAGAAGAAGCCGCTGCTCTTTTCCTTAGCCTCCTTAGCTTCCTTGGCAGCCTTGTCCTTCGCTGCGTCCACAGAGTCGGACACAGCCGTCACTCCAGACGACACTTTGTCTTTCACTGCTTCGGCGTCCTTCTTCAGCTCTTTCGATGCTTTATCTTTTGCATCTTCGACACCTTCGGCGATACCTTTGCCCACCTCCTGCACTTTAGTGCCAGCTTGTTTCGCCCCAGCTGCCACTGCCTCGCCAGCCGCTTTACCAGCTTCTGACGTCTTCCGAACTCCATCGGACACCTTCTCCGCCACGAAGTCAGAGGCTCCTTTTACAGTCGCAGCAGTTTTCTCCTTCGCAGCCTTTGCATCTGCTACTGCTGCGTCCTTTGCCTTTGTTGATTTTTTCTTGGTCTCGTCAACGAGGTCTTTAACGTCCTCGGACACCTCGTCAGCAGTTTGCTTAGCTCCCTTGAAGAGCCCAGAGAGGAACCCGCTGCCTTTCTCCTTCGCCTTTTTGGATTCCTTCGCAGCTTTGTCCTTTGCTGCCTCTGCGCCTTCAGCGACAGTGTCCACCGCTGATGAAACCTTATCCTTGACAGCTTCCGCATCTTTTTTTATTTCTTGAGCTACCTTATCCTTCGTTGTCTTGGCGCCATCCACTATCCCATGCGCTGTTGCCTTCGCTGCGTCCTCAGCCTGCTTGGCGCCTTCGGACATCTTCCGAGCACCTTCAGCCATCTTCTCGTCAACCTTGGCCTTAGCATCCATAGCTGCTCCAGCGACCTTGTCTTTGGTTTTCTCTACGTCAGACACGGCTTTGTCCTTCGCTTTCTCGGCTTCCTTCAGCTTCTCCGCAGCTGCATCTCGCAATTTAGCTTCCTCTTCAGCAGCCTCCTTCTTCGTATCATCCAAAAATTCCTTCATGTCTTCAGAAACGTCCTCAGCTGCATGTTTAGCGCCCTTGAAGAGACCTGACAGGAAGCCACTGCCTTTCTCCTTCGATTTCTTAGCTTGTTTCACGGTCTCAGCGCTGTCAGCAACAACTGCGTCTACCCCTGATGAGACCTTCTGTTTCACTAATTCTGCGTCTTCTTTTATCTCTTTAGACACTTTGTCCTTCCCTTTCTTGATGCTGTCGGACACTTCTCCTGCCGCAGCCTTTGCTGCAGCTTCAGTCTGCTTGGCGCCGTCTGACAGTGTGTCTCCAACAGACTTGCCCGCGTCAGACACCTTCTGAACGCCATCGGCTACAGTTCCGCTGATCTTGTCCTTCGTGTCAATCGCAGTTGATGCTACTTTCTCCTTAGCCTGGTCTAAGCCTGACAGTGCTTTGTCCTTCACCACAACAGCACTGTCGACAACATCTTTGGCAGTCGTTTGGGCCTTGGCAGCGGTCTCCTTGGCAGTCTCGGCGACCTTCTGGCCAACAGCCTTGCCATCGTCAGAAAGTTTCTGCATTGCATCAGAAGCTTTCTGAGTGACTTCGTCTTTCGCGTCTTTCACAGCGGATGCTGCTTTGTCTTTAGTCTGTTTAGCATCGGCTATTGCGCTGTCTTTGGCAGTCTCGATGTCTTTTATCTTCTTGGCGGCCATTTCACGTGCTCGGGCTTCCTCTTCAGATGCCTCTCTCTTCGTTTCGTCAAGGAAATCCTTGACGTCATCGGAAACCTCGTCAGCAGCGTGCTTTGTGCCTTTGAACAGCCCAGAGAGAAAACCGCTGCCCTTTTCTTTGGCTTTCTTGGCTTCCTTTGCAGCTTTGTCTTTTGCTGCCTCAGCACCGTCCACGACTGCATCTACCCCGGATGAAACCTTGCTCTTCACCACCTCAGCGTCCTCTTTAATTTCTTTGGACACTTTGTCTTTCGTGTCCTTGGCTCCGTCGGCTACGTGCTGTGCTGCTGACTTTGTCTTGTCCTGGATCGCTTTAGCTCCGTCGGTGACCTTTTCACCAACAGCTTTGCCAGTGTCAGACACTTTCTGAACACCGTCTGACACCTTGTCACTGATTTTATCCTTCACGCCCTTTGCATCCGTGACGATTTTGTCCTTCGCATCCTTTGCTTCGGTTACCGTCTTGTCTTTGGCTGCCTCAACATCTTTCACCTTCTCAGCAGCTGCGTCGCGAAGTCTGTCCCTCTCTTCGGAAGCTTCTCTCCTTGTCTCGTCAAGGAACTCCTTGACGTCGTCGGAGACGTCGTCAGCTGTGTGCTTGGCTCCCTTGAACAATCCAGAAAGGAAGCCGCTGCCCTTCTCCTTGGCCTTTTTCGCTTCCTTCGCTGCTTTGTCCTTCGCAGCTTCTGCACCCTCAGCAACAGCATCTACTCCAGATGCAACCTTCTCCTTCACTGCTTCGGCGTCCTCTTTGATTTCTTTGGACACTTTGTCCTTTGTGTCTTTTGCACCGTCCACTAGTTGCTGTGCTGTTGACTTTGTTTTATCGTGCATCTCTTTAGCTCCGTCAGAGATCTTTTCGCCGACTGCTTTACCAGTGTCAGACACCTTCTGAGCTCCATCCGTGACCTTCTGACTGACCTTATCCTTCAAGTCCTTCGCATCTGCGACGACTTTGTCTTTCGCATCTTTAACATCAGCCACTGCTTTGTCTTTTGCTGCCTCGGCATCTTTGGTCTTCTGAGCGATCGTGTCTTGAACTTTGTCCTTTTCTTGAGATGCCGCTCTCTTGGTGTCGTCGAGGAGCTCTTTAGCGTCGTCCGATACCTCGTCAGCCGTGTGTTTGGCTCCCTTGAACAAGCCAGAGAGGAAGCCACTGCCCTTTTCTTTGGCCTTCTTCGCTTCCTTCGCTGCTTTGTCCTTCGCAGCTTCTGCACTGTCAGCGACTGCTCCTATTCCAGACGCAACCTTCTGTTTAACTGCGTCAGCGTCTTCTTTGACTTCTTTGGAAACTTTATCCTTCGCAACCTTGACACCGGTTGCTACGTCTTGCGCCACCGACTTTGTTTTGTCTTCGGCCTGCTTTGCTCCCTTAGCTGCTTTGTCTTTAGCAGCCTCTGCGCTATCAGCGACAGCAGACACTCCGGATGCGATCTTATCTTTCACGATAGCAGCGTCTTCCTTGATCTCCTTCGAAACTGTATCCTTGGTTGCCTTGGCGCCGTCGACCACCTTTTGGGCTGCTGTTGCAGTCTTATCTTTAACTTCTTTAGCACCTTCGGCGATCTTTTCACCTGCTGCCTTGCCGACATCAGTTACTTCCTGGGCTCCATCGTGGGCCTTCTCGCTGACCTTGTCTTTGACATCCTTTGCAGCAGAAACGACTTTGTCTTTGCCAGCTTTTAGATCCTCTGCAATTTTATCTTTAGCAGCGTCTGCGTCTTTGGCTTTCTCTGCTGCTGCCTCTTTCAATTTAGCCTCCTCTTCAACTGCCTCCTTCTTCGTTTCTTCAAGGAAGTCGGTGACGTCATCGGCAACCTCTTCAGCCGCGTGTTTGGCGCCTTTGAAGAGGCCAGAAAGGAAACCTCCGCTCTTCTCTTTTGCCTTTTTCGCTTCCTTTGCTGCTTTGTCTTTCGCAGCTTCTGCACCATCGCCGACTGCGTCGACCGTAGAGGATACTTTCTGCTTCATCGTTTGGGTACCATCCTTGAGGTCCTTGGAAAGTTTATCTGCTGCGTCCTTGGCGTCGGCGGTTGTCGCCTTTGCCTTATCTTCAGCCTGTTTGGCAGTCTCTGAGATCTTCATGCCAGCAGCTTTACCAGCATCAGAGACTTTCCGTGCTCCGTCAGATATGCCCTCGCCAATTTTAGTCGCAGTGTCCTTCGCAGTTTCCGAAACTTTGTCCTTGGCGTCTTTCAAGTCTGCCACAGCCTTGTCCTTTCCTGTCTCAATCTGTTTCAATTTATCTTTAGCAGCTTGCTCGGCTTTAGCCTTCTCATCGGTTGCCTCTTTCTTCATTTCGTCGAGGAAGTCCTTGACGTCATCGGCAGCTTCATCCGCAGTATGTTTTGTACCCTTGAAGAGGCCGGAGAGGAAGCCACTGCCCTTTTCTTTGGCTTTCTTGGCTTCCTTTGCTGCTTTGTCCTTTGCTGCCTCAGCGCCGTCTACGACTGCATCTACGCCGGTTGATATCTTTCTCTTCACCAGCCCAGCGTCCTCTTTAATTTCTTTGGACACTTTGTCTTTCGTGTCCTTGGCTCCGTCGGCTACGTGCTGTGCTGCTGACTTTGTCTTGTCCTGGATCGCTTTAGCTCCGTCGGTGACCTTTTCACCAACAGCTTTGCCAGTGTCAGACACTTTCTGAACACCGTCTGACACCTTGTCACTGATTTTATCCTTCACGTCCTTTGCACCGGTGACGATTTTATCCTTCGCATCCTTTGCTTCGGTTACCGTCTTGTCCTTGACTGCCTCAGCATCTTTCACCTTCTCAGAAGCTGCGTCGCGAAGTCTGTCCCTCTCTTCGGAAGCTTCTCTCTTTGTCTCGTCAAGGAACTCCTTGACATCGTCGGAGACCTCATCAGCTGTGTGCTTGGCTCCCTTGAACAATCCAGAAAGGAAGCCGCTGCCCTTCTCCTTGGCCTTTTTCGCTTCCTTCGCTGCTTTGTCCTTCGCAGCTTCTGCACCCTCTGCAACAGCATCCACACCAGATGCAACCTTCTCTTTGACTGCATCGGCGTCCTCTTTGATTTCCTTGGACACCTTGTCCTTCGCAGTTTTCACACCCTCTGTTACTCCTTTGGCTGCTGCTTTCGTCTTATCTTCAACTTGAGCAGCTCCCTCGGATAATTTCTCACCAACTGCCTTGCCAGCGTCTGCTACTTTTTGCGCACCCTCCGACACCTTCTTGTCCACTTTGTCCTGAGCGTCCTTCGCAACATCGATCACTTTATCTTTAGCGTCTTTCATCTCTGCTGCGACCTTCTCCTTTGCTGTCTGAGCATCCTTGGCTTTCTTGGATGCCGCGTCTCGGAGTTTAGCCTCTTCGTCAGCTGCTTCTTTCTTAGTCTCATCAACGAATTCCTTGACATCATCCGCCACTTCATCGGCTGCGTGCTTTCCTCCCTTGAACAAACCAGAGAGGAAGCCGCTGCCCTTCTCTTTGACCTTTTTAGCCTCCTTCGCTGCTTTATCTTTCGCAGCCTCTGCGCTGTCAGCAACTGCAGCCACACCAGATGCGACCTTGTCCTTTGCGATGGCAGCATCTTCTTTAATTTCTTTCGCTGCGGCATCCTTTGCAGCCTTAGCTCCATCAACTACCTTCTGTGCTGCTATTTCCGTCTTGTCTTTGACATCCTTAGCTCCATCTGCGATCTTCTCACCAGCTGCCTTGCCAGTATCTGCCACTTTTTGTGCTCCAGTTTGAACTTTTTCGCTGACCTTGTCCTTCACATCCTTAGCTGTTGCAACAACTTTATCTTTACCAGATTTTACATCATCGACAAGTTTGTCTTTAGAGGCTTCAGCCTCTTTTGCTTTCTGAGCAGCAGCTTCCTTTAATCTCGCCTCCTCTTCGGCAGCCTCCCTCTTGGTTTCATCCAAGAACTCCTTAACGTCATCAGACACCTCGTCCACAGACTGCTTTGCTCCTTTGAACAAACCAGAAAGGAAACCACTTCCTTTCTCCTTCGCTTTCTTGGCCTCCTTAGATGCTTTGTCCTTTGCAGCTTCTGCGCTCTCTGCAACTGCAGCCGCTCCGGACGCAACCTTATCTTTCACAATGGTGGCATCTTCTTTAACCTCTTGCGAAACTGCATCCTTTGCAGTCTTGGCGCCATCGACTACCTTCTGAGCTGCTGTCTCTGTTTTACCTTTCACTTCTTTAGCACCGTCAGCGATCTTCTCACCTGCTGCTTTACCAGCATCGGCCACCTTCTTCGCTCCATCGTGAACTTTCTCGCTGACCTTGTCCTTAGCGTCCTTTGCAGTGGTAACAACTTTATCTTTTCCGGATTTTACATCATCCACAAATTTGTCTTTAGTGGCTTCAGCGTCTTTTGCTTTTTGAGCTGCTGCTTCCTTTAATTTCGCCTCTTCTTCAGCAGCTTCCTTCTTGGTTTCATCCAAGAACTCTTTAACGTCATCCGATACCTCATCAGCTGCGTGTTTTGCTCCCTTGAACAACCCAGAAAGAAAACCGCCGCTTTTCTCTTTTGCTTTCTTCGCTTCCTTTGCTGCTTTCTCTTTTGCAGCTTCGGCACTATCAGCAACTGCGTCCACTCCAGACGCGACCTTGTCCTTCACCAGATCAGCATCCTTTTTAATTTCTTTCGCAGCAGCATCCTTCGTTGCCTTTGCACCGTCAACTACTTCTTGAGTCGCCGCCACTGCCTTCTCCTTGACATTTTTGGCTCCCCCGGAGATCTTCTCTCCAGTGACTTTGCCAGCATCGGACACCTTCTGCACACCGTCTTGGACCTTGCCACTGACCTTGTCCTTCGCGTCCTTCGCTGCGAGAACAACAGCGTCCTTCCCTTCCTTCGCGTCAGCTACTACCTTATCTTTTTTGGTCTCCGCATCTTTGACCTTCTCAGCTGCTTTGTCACGAAGTTTGCTTTCCTCTTCAGCTGCTTCTTTCTTGGTGTCGTCCAAGAACTCTTTAACATCCTCCGACACCTCGTCGGCAGCGTGTTTCGCACCCTTGAAGAGCCCGGACAGAAAACCACTGCCCTTTTCCTTCGCCTTCTTAGCGTCATCCTGGACCTCTTTCGATAATTTACTCGCCTCTGTTTTTGCCTCGTCGGCGACGCCTTTGCCTGTCTCCTGAACCTGATGGGTAGCGTCTAAAGTAGCAGTCGCAATGTTCTGCGTATCCTCCAAGAACTTGGCAGTGGTCTCCCGAAGAGCTTTGTCGACAGGCTTGGTCTCTTCAGGCGCCGCGCTCTTTTCACGCGACCTGCTCCTCGAGTCTCTGGACAATTTCGGACTCCTGAACATGCCGAGAATTCCGACTCCCTTGTCCTTATCAGCAGACTCTGGCTCAGGCACCTTAGCAGGTTTCTGTACCTCATCGGCGTGATGCAAACTCTCCGCAGTCTTGCGAACGTCGTCCAAAAACGCAGCGGTCGCGTGTCTCGTCTCCTCGTCGCCGCTGTCGAACGACGTGTCCTTGGAAGAGCTCTTCTCCCTGGACGCGCTCCTCTTCTTGCTCTTCAGCTTCGGGCTCTTGAACATGCTGAAGAACCCTCCAGCCTTGTCTTTACCATCATCGCCTTCTTTCTGCCCCTCAATCGGCTCCTTCTGCCTCTCTAGACTTCTCTCCTTCGCTTCTGCTTTTCCATTCATGTCCTTCTGCGGAGTTCGTCTGTCGATCTCCGACCTCTTCTGGACCTCCGCGATGTCGTACGAGTGCCCGTTCAGCTTGTCCTTGGGCGTGTCGTCGTACCGGACGTGCGAGACGAAGGTGCGCACCTCGTCCTTGACAACGGAAGGCTTCTCCTCGACCTTGGCCGGAGTCATCGTGCTGTCGGCAAGTTTCCTCGTGTCGTCCAGCAGCTTCCCCGTGGCGATTCTGACCTCCTCGTCACCGCTGTCGAAGGAGGACTCCTTGGACTTCTTCAGCTTCTTCTCCTTCGACTTGGGACTCTTGAAGATGCCGAAGAACCCGCTGCCTTTCTCTTTTTCTTGATCCTCGGCGGTCGCATCCGCCACGCTGTCCGGAGCGTCTTTGCTAGCCACTGCCGCTTCGTGCTTCGTTTCCCGCTTCTCATCCGGTTGCATAATCGCCGCGGTTCTCCTGGAGTCGTCCAGGAACTGCAAGGTAGCCAGCTTGACGTCCGGACCGAGCGTGGTTTCCGTGATCACGATGTCTGTTCGGGTTTCTGGCGCCGCGACAGGAGCTTTGACTTCCTCGTCGCCGCTGTCGAAGGATGCGTCCTTGGACCCAGCTTTACCCTTCTTCAGCTTCGATCCTTTGAAGATCCCCGACAGTATACCACCGCTCTTCTCCTTCGACTTCTTAGCTTCCTCCTCTTGTTCCTCGTCCGGCACAGCGTACTGAGCGGTGTAAACGCCTTCGTAAGCGGATATTGGTTTGTCGCCAGCGAGTTTCGTGTCTTTTGGAATGTGTTTCTGTCTCGGCTCGTCCTGCTGCTTGGGCTCTTTCGTTTTCCCCGGCGAGCCCTTCGCCGCGTCCTTCGGAGGACTCCCAGGCGCCGTCAGCTTCTCGTCGATCTCCTTACCTTCTTTCGACATCAGCTCCTTCGCGCTGACTGTCGTCTGTTTACCGTCCGAGGCCGCGTCTTTCGGCGAAGTTTGGTCGACTTCTTTGACGGTGATCGTCTGCGTGATCACCGGCGGCTCACCCGTTTTGCCGTCACTAACCGAAACCACGGTTTTCGAAGCGACTATCGTCACGCCCTTATCGCCCTTGCCGTCGCGGACGTAACGTTGCTTGATTATGGTCGGCTCGACCACCGGCACGCCCTCCGTAACCGGTCGCGTTAAAACAACGGCTTTCTTATCTGTCTGCGGCCTATCGCCTAACTGTTCCCTAACGAAACTTTGAACTACAGCACCTCTTGCCTCTTTATCATCGTCCCGCGCATCATCATCATCATCATCACAAACCACCGACCACCCTTCCTTCGCTAACTTCCCCTTCTCTTTCTCCGCGTCTGCTATTACACCTGTTAATTAAGTATCACATATTTTAGGCATCTGTAAACGTGGCAAAATAAGAAGAACACATTTGTTTGATTTGATTTTCTTATTATTTTAATTTGTTTGCTTTGCTTTGTTTTTTTTTTGTTTTTTAGAATTGAGATTGCGACGAAACGTTCGCTTCGTCATGATTAGTGTAAAGCCAGCTTTCACGGCATTGCTGTTTTGTTTTGAGAATTCAGCGGTTAGACTCTCGTGTGTGGTTTTATTGTGCATCGAGTGGTATTTTTTTTTTTTTTTTTGGTGCTATGGACCAGCTATCCAAGGATGTGTACTCTCTTTCGGCAATGGTTCGTTCTTTTCTTTTTCTTTTTTTTTTGCTCGGAAACCGAATTTTTGTGCGGTCGCACGACGATTTTCGAATTTCTGTTCGCGCGGTGTTTTTTTGTTTGTTTCGGGATCGATGTAATTTCGTCGTAATTCCGAATTCGAGTTCTCAGATGAAAACAGTAAGCGAAAGGAAAGTACCACGGTCAGAAACAATTTCGAATCTCGGGAGCGTTCTCCCCCGGAGCAGAAAGATCGCGTTCTTGTCAAGCATAATGTCCCAAAAATGTATTCTGGGTTACGGACGAATGCTCGCTGGAACGCGTTCTTCTCCTTCGTTTTAATATAAAAGACGACCGTGATCGTAACGGTCAAATAATTATCAGCGATTTCTTTATCGCATAAACCGTGAAAGTCCGGCGCAAGTGAAATCCAATTAAATAAAAGTGACGTTAAAAAACAGCTGCACGAAATCACGTTCTTTCCTCGAACACCATTCGTTTAATAACCCAGAAATCATTTCAAAGCGCTGCCCTCCGGAAGAGAATGCGCCCGAATGTTGCCAATTCGATGAAAACGAAACAAACGTGATCAATCGATCTCCGTCTCGCACGAGGTTCTAATCGTGAAAATTAGCGTGGTACTGTGATTCGAGAGACTTTGAGAGCTGTTCCGTGTGCCCGCACAGTTAGGCCACACATGTCGGCCGTACATGCAACGCCAAAAAATTGCAGCGAAACCTTGTTGCTGAAACAAATTAATGGGACGAAGAGTGTCGAAGAGAAGTAGAAAGGCTATTAGTGAGTCATTAAAAATGAGAGACACAGAGAATCGCAATTATAATACAGTCGATGCGAGTATATAGTCGCTTTGGAGGCGCAAAGGAAGAAGAAAAAAAAACGATAGATAGATAAATAAGGTAAGTATCGTTACGCAATTAAAATAAAAGCAAGCTGAATCGATTCGAAGAGATCCGCAACGGCGCTGCCAGAACCTGTGAGTGAAAGATATAGAGAGTAGATGATAATAAAAAAGGTAACGAAAAGAATGTGGTAAAAATGTTCTAGTGCCGACGACCGTTCGTAAACTAAGAACTTGAACGCTCGTGAATCGTGTCCAGAATCAATGCTGTGCTATAGTTCTAAAGACTAAAGTCAAAATCTACGTCTTGAACGCAATGGGAGAAACTACGCGTGTGAAAAACCGTCGGCCATTGTCGTTGGTTGCGTAAGTAAAATGTATATCAATGATGTGCTGTGCGTGTTTCGCGTAGTATAGTCATTCAAGACGTTCACGATGACTCTCGTACAACAGTTCCGTGATAAATTGTATCATTCTAACGGAAGACAACAGACAAAATAGTACAACATGTAAATATATTTATTCGTTACGGTCGAGCGTCTTTTTCTTATTAAACTTTATCCTGTGCTATGTGCAGATTACCTCTGCAAGAAGAACAGGATGAATTATCATTGTTATAAAGGGCAAAAAGATAAAGGGCACTGAATCAGCCGAAACAACTTTCTGCATCGTAATCACGCACGAGGACTCGGCGAGAATCGTAAATTAAATGATTGCTCGACAAGAGAAACGATCCTCGGAGATTTAGCTGTAAAATGCGTAGCAGCAAAACGTTCAAGGTGTAGGGGAAACCCCGAAATGAAAAAAAGGTCAATTCGCTCGAAAACCAGTGGCTATGTAACGTGTACGCACTGTTTTATGGGTAATATTCGCGGATGTACGTGCGAATTATACTTAACCAAACACGGCAATTTCTCCCGGAAATGCCAAATTTCGGGTTACTGTGAATTTTCCTGTGCTGATCCCAATTATGCACAAAAATGGACAATTTGGAAAGAGCCTTGCGGTTCGTTTTTATGATTTCCGATTATCAACTTGCCGGATCATTTTCATCGCAGGTACAACGATCGCAACTTCTTCGATTCTAACAATTTCTTGGAAGAAAAACAAAATTTACTTTTACGGATTTTATGCATTTATGGGGAATTTATATAACTGGAGACATAAGAAGAAGAATTGAATAATGTTGTTACACTGTCTGTAACTTATCAAAGTAACCTAAAGAAACAAGATATTTTTATTTAGACTCTGTTTCGTAGAGTCGGTAAGAATCGTGGCACGTGGCCTCCGAATTGCCTTCGAATCGTGGCAAAAAATTAGAAATAAAAAAGTTAAATCATCGTTTTTATTCTAGCATTACTATGTACTCATATTAATGTAATCCTGGCCGCTGACTTTTTCTGCCGACTGCCCCGAGTTCCTATAAAAATGTGCCGACTTAGTATAATATTCTCAGATCTGCCGGTTTCAATTCCGACCTCCGAATAATTCTGGGAGAAATTACTGTATTCGGCAAAGATGTCGAAAATTAACAGAAGGGGATTGAAGTAGTTGTTCGAAATAAATACGTATATGTTAAATATTATGACAAAGAAAATACTAATGACGAACGATGAAATTCTAATGACGGTTGACGAGATTAAATTGCCAGATTTCGCATCAACAAATCGAACGTTTTGCAGCCACATGATGTGCCGTTGGATTCAAATTGTACAAATCTTTTCTTCGCTTCGTTAAATTTTTCCGTGCGTGTTATTTATTATATTATTATTAACTTTCTCGCGTATACACGCGAGAAGTATTTCTTTTGCCGCCGCACAATCTTACTTCCTGCTCGCGTTCCAACCGTTAATAAAAATAAACGAGGTCTTCGAGAATATTTATTGGCCAGTTAAACGTGGCTAAGAAATTCGTCAGAGTTCAGCCTCGATTATAAAATATTATACGTTGAATTTATACAAGGAGCGTCGATTGCGCGGCGAGGATAGACGGAACAATAATCTGTAAAACCATTAGAAAAATACTGAACAATTCCCTGTGAGTGTTTCATAAACATCGCAGTGTTTCACATCCTATCGAAAAGTGTGACGTAATTGTATAATAACCATAATCACACCTCTCATTATATTTTACACGCTAGACCGTGGAGTATTTCGATAAAAAAAACTGGCCAAAAGTCAGTGTAAAAATCTCGCGTAAAATATTCGATTTTTGTACTATATAATAAAAATATATTAAAATATATTAAAATAAAAATATATATACCTTTTCTTTGAGATGATTCATAACACCGTTTCTTCCTTAACTAGCTTCTAAATTATCGATCGCTTGTTCACGATTTTTAAATATGGATTTTAAATATCCTTCTTATAAATGTTGTATTCTCCATTATCTGTGTTTTTGTGATATAAAAGCGATATTAAAAAATTACTAATAATTCAGTGAAGTACTTCAAATACTGAAGTATAATAAACTATAATACTTGTACTACTAGAGACACCAAAGACGATTCAGAAATAAATTCCAATAATAAATAAACTAATTCATTTAAGTTACAGAAGAGAATCAAAGTGAAATAATAGAAATGAACGTAGAATATTTATAAATATTTATAAGTCTATGTAAATTTCTGATCCGGTACATTTCTTTGTAAAATTGTAGTAAACAATATGGCATGATTTCACTTTCGTCCTCACGTAAACGAATGAAATAATTTTGGCCAGCTTTCGTAGTCGAATGCTCCACAGTGCACAGTTCGTGATTAAACTGTTCTCAAGAACACATACAAGGTGCCCATAATTATGTTAACATCTAGAAAGGGCTGATTCCCGAGGTCATTTGAAATAACTTTTTCCTTAGCGAAAATGCAATCTGCGACTTTGTTTACGAGTTATTAACGAACAAACACTGACCAATGAGAGATCCTTCGGCAGGCGCGAGGCGGAGTCAACGAGCTGTCGAAGCCCAATTCCGCCGATTGGCTCGGCCGTCTCGGGCCCGGCGAGCTCGCCTCTCATTGGTCACTGTTTTTCGTTAATAACTCGTAAACAAAGCTGCGGATTGCATTTTCGCTAAGGACAAAGTTACTTCGAATGACCTCGGGAATCCGCCATTTCCCGGAAATATCATAATTTTGAGATATCACCCTGCGTATCATTGATCAAGCCGTTCTTCCGAACTGTCTCGAAAACGTCAGAAGTGCAAAACATTGAGATCTAATTGCTGATAGACGAAACTAAAAAACGAAAACACAGTTTGAACAGCGATGAACTATAACAATGAACACGATGTCACTAGAAGCGAGATCTTGAGTATAGGGCCATGTAGCACTAGTGATTCGAATATCTGATGTCGACGAATGGTTAATATAGAATTCGCTGTCCTCGAACCAAGCATGATGATTATTATCGCGTTAAAAGTCCGTCATGCTGCGTACTTCCGATGGGAAGATCAATGGCGCAAGACCGCGATTATGGGGATTATGATTCGCGCTGTACGATCCCACACGAGATCGACGTTATTTGCCAGCTAGATATAAATTGACAGTGCAGCACGTCGAAGCGCGGCCCCTCAACCCACCATTTTCGTCAGCAAAGATGCGGAAGACCACTTACCGGCGACTATCCGATTGGCGTCCGCTATCACTCTTCGTCGTCTCTCGTCTTCGTCGACCTCGTCACGTGACTTTTTACTCATCGTGTCGGCCACGTGACATTTCTGTTCGAGAAACTCGGCCATTACGTCCCGAAGCTCTTTCTCGTCGCTCGCGTACTTATCTTTGATGGGGGTCGAGGTTCCGTTGAATACAGTGCCGTTTGTGATCGTGACATGCTGTTTTGCTGTTCGGTGCAACAAACAAACAAGAAAACAGTGATTTAAAACGCGTGACCGAGCCGGCTCCGATTCGACACTGAAGCGCACAAGAGAAAACACTGGCGCATGATCGCGTAGTCGGCTGTCACACGTGAAATGCCCGATTTTCTCGGTAAATCGGATTCATTTTGTACGTCCATTAGGGTGCACCCTTTACTGTAAGTTCCGCGTGGCCGGGGAAAAATGGATTTTCGAAATACTAAATAGACTAAGAATATTTTTATCTTCTCATGTAATACAAAATTTGGCAAATAATTTCTTTTTGAAATCGTAATTGCGTATAGAAGTTGTATTTCAAGTATATTTAACTATTTAGTATACGTAATATACGTAAGAAGTTTGTTTGCTAAATTTTGTATTAGATGAGAAGATAAAAATAAAATTGTAGTCTATTTATTATTTCAAAAACCTATTTTTGTTATCAAAATTTGAGTTTAAGTGTAAATTACTGTAATTATATTGGATACGTTTGATTTTCTTCATATTTTGTTTAAATGCGAGATTTTTATAAAATATATCATTTAATAAAGAATATCAAATTATATATATCCATTTTAACTAATTAATTATTATGAGTATATTCGTTACAGCACAAATTGTTGCCATTTTTTCATTATCTAAAATATTGCACCACTTTGTATAATTGAATCATTCTACGTGATCGATCATTTTGGGATGGTACTGTCCGGGATTCTGGGTAAAATACGTAAAATTAGAGGAGTCATCGTTCATTAAGTCATTTTTACAAAAACATAATTCACTTGAGAAATTTTATCTTGAAAACTATTTGTTCGATTGGATAGGAAATTTTTTTATTTCGATCTAGAAGGATTTGCCTACTGTAAGAAATTTTGTGTACATTGCAAAATTAATTTTTTAGTTGGCAATGAAATTAATAATTCGAATATCAAAAACCATATGTAAAATATCGTTTCTTAAATTTTACTTCGGTCATATAATTACTGTCAATAACCGAAATAATTTATTTAAATGTGTGAAGAATTATTAACAAAAAATATGATGTATTTCTCAACCTCCACTTAAACAGGAAAAAATATTTCATCCATAATTCACAAGTTGATCAAAGAAACGTTCGAATTTATCTTTTCTATAAGGAACAGTATAACTAATAAATGAATAACTGATTTTTCACTGATTTAATGATCACGCTCAATTTACGGGGCACACAGAAGTCAGTCATATTTGTCAAATGAAAATGGATTGCTTCAAAACATTTTCCATAATAATGCAATTTTTCTAACTATTAATTCACTGAAAGAAACGATTAAATTGTAATTACTTCGATTTGGACGGAAGTTATTTAAAAAGTCGGGCATTTCACGTGTATCGATCTAAAAGACAGTGAGTACTGTGTGCGTTTATGACGCGTGCGGATTTGTATGTACAGTACAATGAAGGAACAGAATTTTTGCTGCAATTTTTTTTCATAGTTTGAAAAGTCATTTAAGTTCAGATGGAATTGATGTTTCCCTTTGAGCCGACATACGAATCATTATAATGTAGTACATATAATTTGCATGTATTAAACGTGTAATATTATGAACAGCTGACGGAAGAATTCGGATATAGCGATTATAATATTTACAGTTTGATTTCCTGTGTATAGAAATGAGTAATGTATGTGTATAAACCTATAATGTACATATAATCATTAACGTATAGGGATTAATAATGTATAAAAAATCATTAATATGTATAAAATTGTTAATGTATATAAATCAGTAATCTGTATAAATCAATAGTGTATCTAAAATCACTAATATGTATAAATCAATAATTTATATAAATCAATGATGTGTATATAAATCAATAATCTATATAAATCAATAATATTTATAAAATCATTGATGTGTATAAAATAATTAATGTGTATAAAAAACGTGTGCAAAATCGTTAATATGTATAAAATCAATGAAAAACATTTTTCTCTCGAAAGAATAATTATGTCGCATAATAATCGATACAAGAATAAACTTACTTGCAAAAACGACGAATAAACGTCGAAAGAATCCGCGCAAAATAGTGCAGTGACAGCAAATAATACTATTATGTGAACGACTGCGGCAAATGTACAATGCGTTTTAAAATGTGCTTTCGAAGAAATGTGAAATCAATCTTATGATCTAACACATTTTTCTTAGCAATGACAGGAAATAAGGCTGGCTTGTTATTCACAGGAATAATGCAAGCAGTGACATCATATCCTTTATAGAATTGTGATCGCGAGCGCGCGTGTCTGTGTATGTGTGTTGTGTTGAATGGAATTCCAATTGAGAAAAATATCTTTTACGCATTGTTAATAAAATATCGAGTAAGGACAAGTAAAAGACAGTTAATAGAATAAGATTGTAGAATACGTACTTGGTGTTTCGTGCTTCGTGCCGGTAATACTGAGCTCTCCGACAGATTCAGATTCCTAAACAACAAATTCATTGCATGAATAATCCATGATCTTGTTATCCATTAACGCATACATTTAACATTCACATAGGCTTATCGTGCACATATATTTATCGAAATAAATGTAAAAATATGAACTTCTACGTCATTATTATTTTCATTATTGCGTCGTGATTAGAATGCGGATCTTTGTCTTATCTTTCTAAAATGATTATGCGCATATTAATTTCAAATAAAATTATTGAGAGAAGCAATAACTATTCAACTCCTATTTCTTGAAATTAATGCTTATCATTTTTTTTTGCATAAGTTGTTGTAGTCTGAAATGATTAAAATAGCTTCATATTTTTGATTTATATTTCTTGAAATAAATGAGGATAATTTTTTGCATTAGCGTGAAATAATAAAAATTATTAAAAGGAGCAATAGATGCTCAATTTCTATTTATTGAAACTAGTAAAAATAATTTTTATTTTGCACGGAGATTCGCATAGTAATCATGATTATTTTAATGAGAAATTAATTGGAGATAAAAATCACATAATGTAGAATTTTGGCAAAATTTAATAGCAATTATTGGCCTGCGGATTTTTATGCAAAGTGTTCTATTGTAGTAAACAGAAATGAAATCGAAATTAATTTTTTCTTTCAATAATTTCAATAAGTTCGAAATAGAGAGTATGACAACGCGTTTTTCAATTGTTCTAATGTCTTCAAGGTTTTGTATTTCACCTGTATATAGTTTCAATAAATGCATAAAATCCGCGATCTAGTAATTGTCACTCAAAACTTGTGAAATTCGTGCAAACCTTGGTTCTGTTGAGTTCGTAATCAGGATCCATCTTCGGATCCATTTTCGCGTCGCGACGCAACGATGTGTCCCTTGAAGGTCCCAATTCTTCTTTCAAAGAATCGAAACCAGGTTGATCTAATCGAACTCTGGCGACTGCTTTCTCTACGTCGTCGGTCACCAACTCCACGTTAAATATACACTTTTTCACAATGTCCTCACGGCCGATCTTATTTAGCGCCTTCTCGATCGAATTTCCTGCACACACACGTGAACATAATCTCACCTTTAGTACACGCTAGTTATACGTATATGCTCTTACAGAACCCTTCCCGCAATTTTCTCGCTCTCATTTAATGACTATTCAACCGATCAGAACTTCTCTCAACGAGGAACGAACTTCGTCAGACTCTCTTCGAAGAAGTTTAATGGAGCGTTGTTTATCCACTCGGTTATCGCGCCTTTCATTAACCTTTTCGCCCCGAATTAAGCATCGTTTACTTTAAACGTCTTGTTCAATTAGTTTTGGAGATACTGGGCTGGGGCAATTTCTTGAAACAACATTTCTGTCTCGCAGATCTTATCTCATTTTGTCGGTGCTTTATATCAAGAGAGGTCACGATATAATATATTATTTTTGTTAATTATACCATGTAATGTAATAAATTGTATTTAAGGTAAATTAACTGCTACATTGACGTCTCATTTTGTCGACATTTTGTGTCATCTTAATTATACAATATAATGTAGTAAATTTTATTCAATTTAAATTAACTGTTATATTTACATCTCATTTTGTCGACAATTCATGACATCTGAATTATACCATATAATATAATAAATTGCAATTAAAAAGATCAGATGTTAATTAGCAGTAGTTAAATTACCATAAATAAAATAATTAAAATACCATACAAAAAATAAAAATAAAAATACCATATAATATAATAAATTGCAATTTATTATATTATATATTACCATATATATA